AGGTTTCACTGGCCACTGTCCTTTAGCTGTGTTTGTCTGGCTGGTTTCTGTTTTGAGGAGCTGAGATGAATTACGGTTACCAGGGGGTTTTTGCTGCTGGACAGTTTTCCAATTATTTGAAAGGTTCCCAAACTTTTGAGTAATTCCACTCTCAGACCTTGAATCTGCTGTGTTACTCAGAGTATACTCATTTCTGTTCCTGCAATGCAACATCAGACACAGTTCAGTATCACAGTATCTGTTCTGGATACTCAGATACGTAATTAAGGTATATAAAAGTAATCTATGTATTGTTGCTTTAGCTTTAAAAACATCCAGACTTAGAGCACTTGAGTATACACTGAAATAAATCCACATGCAGGGCAGGGATCACACCTGTGCATAAATCCAGCTGACTTCAACAGGCCTTAAAACTTCCCTCAATTATTATCCTGCCCTGTACAAGGGATCTTTCCTGATCCAAGATTCACATTTTTTTCCATAAGTCTAAAGTAAAATAAACAAAGTTTCTTCTGAGAGTGATGTTTCCAAATTCTTCTACCACCATCACTGAGGAAATCATTTTACAACAAACTCTAGTGCTGACATTATTATTTCTAACACAGTTCTTTAATAAAGGCAGCTCAGAAATGAATCCTGTTCCATTTTGTCTTGTTTGAAACATTCACTCTCTTTTTGCCCTTGGAAAGGAACAGGAGGAAGGGAACAAATGGACAGTTGTAACATTGCTGGAAGTTTTCCTGCCAGCTCCAGGCATCAGAATCTGTCAGCTTTTCCTCAATCTGTAAAAGCACAGTTGTGTTCAGTCTTAATTATAAGTTTTTATATAAAATAAACTGATAGAATCTTATTTGAGTCTATTGATAAATTTGGGTTGGAAGTGGGCCAAACTTCAAGTAAAGGCAAATCTCAAAAAATTACCAGCAAAATTCAATCAACTTTTACGGTAAGACTGAATTATAGGCCTGATATTGGGTCTAATTAATAGGCCTCATTAGGTACACTGGAAAGATATGTCATTTCAGTGGGGTTTGACTCATAAGCACAATGTAATTATTTAGGACTACAGTGATGATCTGAGAATTAAAAGGGTCTCTCTGAATGCTACAGGAATATGGGAAAATGTAAGATGTATTTTCACATGAGAACAAAAAGGAAGGATAATAGACATTAAAGACTCCACCAACCTGCAGGCAGCCAAGTTTTTTCCAGCATTTGCTAAATTAAACTTTGATGCATTTGGTGGTTTCATGAGGGAAGGAGCCATCTGATGTTCTGTTTGGCTTTCAAATATAAGTTTAAAGTATCAGTGACATAGTAGCAGCTTTATTGTAAGAAAGACACATGGATCATAGTTTGTGAAACAATTAGTATCCAAATAAAAATCAAAAAGCAACAAATAACCTGCTTTTACATACCCACTGTTTGCTGCTTTCTGCAGTTCAGCCACTTCTGGGTGTGCAGTTCCCCAGCCTAATTTTCAAAAGGCAAAGGATTGGATATGGGTACAGAGAAGATTGAAAAGTAATAGGTCTATTATGTAGGGCTCCTACTCTATATCTGCTTAATGTCCCACAAACAGGCTCACACAGGAAGGAGAAGGTGGGAAAAAAAAAAGGGAATGGGATCCTTTGATATTTGTAATTATAAGGCAACTTCTAACAAGTAGGTTGCTTCTCTAGACAACGGTTCATTTACAAACATTAGACTTGTTAGCAACAGAGACTTTTTTACTGTATTATAAGGAAACTTTTTAACTTTATTACAAGTAGACCATAATGAAAGCACTAAAGGCAGAATTCTACACTGTTCTTTCCAAGCCCAAACTGAAGAACAGAAGTTCCTTTCTGGACTACAAGAAAGACATCTTATAAATGTTTCTTCTTGTAACACAGGACTTGAATGTTGATTGAAATCAACTGAAAACAAAAGGTCGGTTTCAAGAGACTTGATTTAAATGCCAGTGCTACTTCATTCTCCAACACACAAAGAGTCAAACTCCCTCTAGACACGAAGTATAAAAAGCTCAATTGTATGGAGGAGAAAGAAGTTTCCTGGAGGACAATTTTTACATAATGAACTTTTCAGAAATAGATATAAAGGGTGCATAAAGTTCTTGATAAAGACAATGTCTGATTACTCAGAATACAATCAGGAAGTTAAGATTTATTTGATTTAGAGCCTCTAAAAAGAATAAAATATATCTTATTTACCAAATGATGTGGGAGAGAAGTCATATGTACGAGTCCCAGAACCGGCACCTGGCTCATTTTTAATTGGATTTGAAGTGAGGGGCTGTCTAGTTCTTTTTTTCTGATTGAACAGCGGTACAGGCAGACAACCTAAAATTAAAATTCAAGTAATAATACCATATTAATAGCAAAAGGATACACAATCTACACTTAATAAATAAAATGACTTAACAGTTATTTTACATCACCCATAGGAATTACATTTCATAAACACTTAACAGACCATTCCCTCACAGAACTGATATTCCCAGCCCTCTGTCCTGCACATAATCTTGTGAAGGAAACCTTTCCCTGAGTGACCAGTTCCTTGAATCCAGCCAAAATCTTGCCCTGTGCTGCAATAAACAGGTAACCCGTTGAAGTCCACTCAGGAAATGGGGATCTAGGGCTGAATTCTGAACATCCTGTGTGCACACTGCATGTATAGTTATGTGTGTGTATATATATATAAAAAAATATATTTATATACAAAAGGATAATGAGGTGTGAGTGGTAAAGCACAAAACAAGGGCCAGTACCTGCTGTGCTGCGAGTTGAGGTGTCACCAAAACTCCTTTTCATTTCTTTGCTGAGTCTTAACAGGCAACGATGTATTGATTACTCCAGATTTGCTGTATGGAAGTTAGATAAGCAAAGTAAATTAATTAATGCCGTAAACACATCCAAATTTCATGTGATTTTGGCAGTTTCTGTGAACTCTGCAGACCCAGTGACTGGCATCACTTCAGACACAAGCCTAAAACATACAAGCAGCTGTACTGCATTTAGAAGATCCACAGGTACATACATAACATGCAACTGGTTTTTGCAGATTAAAGGCCCAAATGATTATATTTTTGAAGTAAAAGTTTTATTCTCCACTTTTTTTAAGTGCTGAAAAAATATTGAATTCACTCCTGAATTTAAAAGTACACATATATCCAAATACAAGGATTTTTGTTTTAAAATTCCTGAAAATGAAACACTAATAAAAAAATGCGTATTTATACATTGCAGACAAAGGTGATGGCAAGGTACAAAGCTTTGAAGATAAAACCAGTTTAATTATTATGTGAAAAATAGTATTATGGTTCAAAAATAAACTTATTTTCTGTACTTCATGGTACAGATCTAAAACCTTTAGCCAATTCCCTCATACATAAAATACATCACAAATCAAAAAGATATTACTATAAACCAAATATTACAAACAGAAGAAATATATATTAGCATGTTAGGTATAGGTACTTTGCCATATTTGTTTTTTGATTAATCTACTTGTAATCTTTGTGTATCAATGTACACATTGAGGATACTACAGAGACTGTATGCAGCTTTACTTGCTATTCTATCAGATTTAGCTACTGGTGCATGTTGCCTTCAGTGGCATATGAATAATACTGCATATTTAGATGTATAAATAATACAAGACATTCCCTCTACATTTATTTTGATCTGACAGTTAACCATACGCAGCTATTAAAAATGTTAATAAGAATGAAGCGCAGCTTCTACCACAGCTGACTAATAGATCAATTTAGTCTTTACTTCTGTGAGATACATCAATTACACGTGCGATGACATTAAAGCAGCCTCTAGTCCATTGTCGTTATACAATTTAAAGCATATTCCTAGCACTATGAAACCTAATGGCCCCCAGTAAAACGCTTGTAAAATAAAACCCCATTAAGTTTTACATTTCAATTTATAGAGAGTTTTTGCACCGCATAGGAGCTTAGAGCGTGTTGTTTTCTGGCCTCTTCTGAAGATAAGCAACTAAAACCCAGAGAAAACGCTGTAGAAAAACAGTAAGCTCAGGCAGAGCAGGGCGACCCTCGGCAGTGCCTCACACGGAGGCGGCAGCGCCGGCCGCGGGCTGAGGGCTCTGACGCCGTGGAGGGAGCCTGAGGGTGTGGAGTGAGGGTCAGCCCTGAGGGACTGGACTGAGGGACAGGGGTGAGGGTCAGCCGTGAGGGTCAGCCCTGAGGGACAAGGATGAGGGACAGGGGTGAGGGTCAGCCCTGAGGGACAAAGATGAGGGACAGGGGTGAGGGTCAGCCCTGAGGGACAGGGATGAGGGAAGGGATGAGGGACAGGGGTGAGGGTCAGCCCTGAGGGACAAGGATGAGGGACAGGGTTGAGGGTCAGCCCTGAGGGACTGGACTGAGGGACAGGGGTGAGGGTCAGCCCTGAGGCGAAGCCCGCCAAAAATAACGGACACTCGGCCGCGCGCTCGCGCCTCAGGCGGTGCGAAAATGGCGGGAAGGCGCTGCGGCAGCCCCGCTGAGGGAACCCCCCGGCCCGGGCTGGGGCGAGGAGCGCGGCTCCCAGGAACCATTAAATCATTTAATCAGTCCTCGGTGGGGCTTAATTACCACGTGTAAACTGGCCCACGTGGTGTCCAGCGTCAGCCTAAGAGAACACAGGGCAGGAGCTGAATCCCCACAAATGTGTAAACACAGACGTGGATGTAAATAAAATTATCCACAGTTTCACGTTGTTTTCCTCTTCAACCACTGTTCTGGCTTTTACACGCGGCTGGTTTCAACTGTGTAAAACCTTAGTGCTTGGCATGCTTGGAGCCTGTTTTGTAATGCTTTTTCTTCAGCCTTGGAAGGCTCTGGAGAGCCACATTGCAGTTCTATACACTATATATATACACACATACACGTACCTTCATGACCTTAATAGCTAGGCTTAGTTTCATTTACATGTTATTATTACATACGTTTTTCAGCTTGTGGCTTGTACTCCAAGCTCTCAGATGCACATCACAGATGCACATCTGTATGTAGCACATCAAGCCAATCTGAATTCTTAATAAACTAAATATCCTACATAATTTTTCAGAGTGCAAACATTGGCAAAGCACGGGAACAAGGGATTGGTCCCAGTGTTTATTTCTGAAGAGTTAAAACTTTCCAAGCGTTTACATTTATCCCCAAATTGGCAGGTGCCTGTCCTGGGAGACCAGGAGTTAAAGCGTTTGGACCGTAAGTGCTCTAAGGGGATAAAAGAAACCTCCAGGGCTTTGGTTCCTAAACTTATGTTTGGAAATTCACTGTCACTGTCCTAAGAACGCTGCTCTCAGGAGACAAACTTCTTGCATGTTAAATGAGGTAAGCGCACAGACGATCTCTGTGTTTCATTCAGCTTTTTGGAAGGAATTATAACCATTACAGTGCTAGCGGCAATAAAAGACAAACTATATGTTCTAACCCTGCACATTTGCATTTTGCCATTTATTCCTCAAATTGATGCCGTGTTTAAATGCAGCAAACCCAGATGCAGATCACAAATCGTGTTTTCGGGCAGTGTGTCAATGGTCATTTTGGCACCACCACTGAAGAGACGGGTCAAAGGACAGCACAGACTGTCCAGAGCTGTAAAATACAACTTTACTACTTTGTTTAATAAATTACTTACTCTGATTAAATATCTGACAGCTTCTAAGTACAGGAGTAATACAGTTGAGTGTTTAAGTAAACAGTCTCCCTGTATTAACTTGCTGTAAGGTTCAGCAAATCTGAAACAGAGAGAGGAACTTTTGTAGGAAATATATTCCTGGCAGAACTTGTCTAGATAAATCCTGTTTAGCTTTTCCTAGACCTACAGTCTGTCAGCCTGGGTTATAAAGCCTCTCCCAGGCACTAGCCAAACACTCTCTCAGTCACTGGAGTGTAATCTTAATAAAAAGGAATTGTTCAATAAACATTCTTTATTCCCTTGCAGTGTAACATTTTTTTATGTTTATATTGCGTGTCAGATACTAATTGCAAATACTTCTGTCACTGACAGCAGTTAAAACTTATTTTTCTGTTATTAAGACCGTTTATTCTAAATGCTTTGATCCTCAGGATGGAAGTTACAGCTGCTCTTTGGCTTAAGTTTCAGAAGCCTTTTCGAAAGCTTTTGGAAATGGAAGAAAAGTTGCTGACTAAGTTTTTTTGGGGGGGAAGAACACAACTATTGTCCCATCGCGGTCTAGATCTGTTTCCTTTTTAGTAAGAGACTGCAGAAGTTAGAGGGTTGTCCCTGGCAAAGTTGTTTCAGTGTGTTAGAGGTCTGTGTTAGCAGATCCCGAGATAGAACTGGAGCCAGGAACGCTTGGTAAGTCAGTCATGGATAAATTGCACTGTAATTTCAGCTCCTGTTCCTTCTAATCACTGTTCTTCAGATTTCTAAACCGAAAAAGGTCGTACAAGCCCCAACATGCTTTGAGGAACTCAGCTGTTCTTGGTTTTTTAGATTAAAATACTTGATGTTTCAGCATTTTGTGCAGGACTAGAGCCAAGATATGGTTCTTATTCTACTGGTTTTGCTCCCTTTAAATTATTCTGCCCTTGTATAGTGTAATATTTATGCAACCAAACATACACAAGAATACTTGTTACGTATAGTTTGCAGTGCAAAAATGTCAGAGATATATAAGTGCATTATTAAAGTTTACATTAAAAAAGCCTTTTATACTGTCATTAGCACAGGATTTACCTACATAGTATAAATTATTAGAGGTTTCCTGGAGAAGTTAACTTTTGAACTGTGTAACAGTACCATGAGCAGCCTTGGAGACGTTTCTAAATACGGAAACCAGAGGGGAGGCTCCTTGGGAGGGAGGAGGGTCAGGTTGGCAACTCCCACCTCAAAACGGGAGTCAAGAACTCTCAGAGAAATGTTCATTCACTTTCTTTCCCATCTGACCTAAACAGGCTTAAAGAGTCTCCTACTGAAAAGAAATTTTATTTTTTTTTTTTCTTTTTGGAGGCAAACGTTTTACTTTACCATTATTTTCTGGTTTGCCTTCAGCAATTGTCAGAGCTGCTGAAAAGCATGACTTCCTCCTCCTCCTCCTCCTCTGCTCTTGCTGAACCTCCGGTGAGACGGGTCGGTATCTTCGGGGGAACTCATGGCAATGAGTTATCAGGGGTGTTACTGGTCAGGCACTGGCAAGAGAATGGAGCTGAGATCCAAAGACCTGGAATGGAAGTGAAACCATTTCTCACCAACCCCAGAGCTGTGGAGAAGTGCACGAGATACATTGACTGTGATCTCAACCGGGTTTTCGACCCTGACAGTCTTGGGTAAGAACAGTTGGGCTTTCTGTTGTTTTACTTTTAAAACTGCAGTTTTAAAAATCCTTTCCAGATTAAAATGTTAACACGAGTTCCACTGCTGCTTTAACTGTGCAGTCACATAACTGAAATCCCTGACCTTTAACCCAAAAAAGAATGAACTGCGTGAGTGTTAACAGATTCATTCCTATTGCTGGCAGAATGACTCTCCAGCCAACACATTACCTTAAACACAGCATTTTAAAATAGCATTAGATCAGCTGTATTTGTGTGAATTGGAGTATCACAGTTCTGGGCTGCAAAGTCATTATTTCTCACGTCTTGTGCAATTTAGCTTTGGAGCTCTCCTGAATACAATTATATTTGCAGGAAATGGCAGATAAAAGCAATTTAAGTGTTGACATCCGAGTATCTGAAAGAATGGCACACAAAGCAGGGAAATGTATTTAATTCCACTTATGTACAGTAAAAGATGAAAACTTGAAATTAGCTAAGTTAGAAATAATCTATGGCAAAAGGATAGCCAAAAAATCTCAATAATTTAACTGACTCATTATTTTAGAAGAAATGCAACCTGTAATTACTGTAAAATAGTAACTGATTTTACATTTTGAATAGGATTTGAAGTTTCTGTGCTCTTGAGATACCTATTCCAGAGGTGTACTTTGCTGTATAAACATTCTTATTCCTGGTATAGTTGCATGCTAACCAGGTAATTCTGTTTCAGAACACTTTTAATGGTAAAGGTGAATACCACTGAAGGAAATATATATTGCATATATTCTGCAAACATAGTTACTCTTACCCTGCACACCTTTTCAGCTGCCTTTTCATCTTAGAATTTTTTTGTTGATTATTATATCTAAGATAAACAGATGTTAACACATAAGCGTTGAGGTCATTCTTTTAATTGTTTACTTAGGAAAAACATACAAAAACCAAAAGTGGTTTTGTTTGCTTTCAGCTGCTTTGAACATAAAACACTTGAAAAAACAGCAGATTAAGACACCTGCAGGTTGTCTTCATTTTTTAAATAATACTCCTCAGTAAATCCTATGAAGTTGCCTGGTCCTGTTAAAGCACTACTGACTAGCTTCCTGTGATCCCTTTCAGTGTAGAACCTTCAAGATTATAAATTAAGATTTTACAAATAAGGAGAGTGAAACCCTTATACTATTCCAAGTAATGGTGTAAGTCCCATTGGCTTCAATAAGAAGCATAAATTTAACACTTTTATGTGAAGAAACCTCAAATTCCAAAGACAGAACTAAGGAATACAAAGGTAGATTATGTGATACATAGAGTCAGAAATAGAAAAAGGAGCTTTAAGGGCTCACATAAAAAAATCTAATCCACCTCCATCACACCAGTGGATCAACTGCATATAGATATTCCTAGCAGATTATGTCTTGCCATTTCTAATGATCCAGCAGCGGTGATCCCATAATTTTCCTCAGCAACCTCCTGTGATGCTTAAATACCCATGCAAATAGTAAGGTGTTTTGTTAGCATTTCACAAAAAACTTCCTTTATGCAACATAATACCAGTATTTCTTAAAAAATTCAAATATTACAAAGCTGGAGCTGTATTGAGAAAGAAAACTGAGTTTAGTGCAAAACACTGTAGGTGTGTCTGGATTGTACTTGGGTGGTGTCCCAGGCCTGTCATCCAAACCAGATTTACTGTCCACAGGGACCAGGTCTGAGCCCACAGAGGCTTTATACGCTGTTATTACACAGGAGAGATGTGTCCTGTGTCCTACAGAGCCCTCACACACACTGGAAGCAGATCCCAGACTTTTCCTTAGGCTGAGACCATTTTTTTTTAAAGCATAATACAGGCTGAGTCACCTGAAATCACAAGTATTAAAACTTAGGAGGAACAGATTTGAGGCAGCAAAATATTCTGTGAGCTTTGAGACTCAGGAGGGCTGAAAGCAATGGAGTATGAGAAGATAGGAAATAAAACAAGTTACAAAAGACCTTGAGAGTGATGTCCAAGGCAAAACATCATGGACTGATGTCTGAATGTTGTCATCAGTAGGAGGTGGATCCAATCTTGGAAGTGCTTCAAGATGCTGATAAATTTTTAGTTGGTTTTATGCATGGGGGAAATTTTGGGATGCAAAGAAATGAGAGAAGTAAATTGTCTCCAGCTAAAATCAGACTGAATGATTCTAACACCCTTCTGCACAAGACACATAATTGTAACACCTGTGGAACAATCCCACTTGCTTTTTTCAAGCACACATTCAGCCAGTTTTTTAAGAGTTTGGTAATTAAATAGGTGATTTCAACTCCAGTCCATTATGGAATTAAAGTCAAAAGAAAAGGCTATACATGTTTTGTTGACTGTAAAGCCATGGAATGAGCTCACTAATTTCTTTGTGCTGATATTAACAGCAGGCCAGTGGTGGAAGATATTCCATATGAAGTGAGAAGGGCTCAGGAAATCAATCATATATTTGGCCCAAAAGGTAGTGATGATGCCTATGACCTTATTTTTGACCTTCACAACACCACTTCTAACATGGGTGGTACCCTTATTCTTGAAAACTCCAGGGATGACTTTACAATTCAAATGGTTCATTATATCAAGGTAAAACTAATTTAAATGAACTATTAAAATAGATTATTAGTTGTAATGTTGTATTACTATATATTATTTTGTAGTTTCTTTAAATATACTATTTTTTATTCTGCAAAACTGTTTAAAATATTTAATTACTCATAGGATGGTTTTTTTTAATCAGAGATAATTAATAATTTGATTATAATATCAGGTAATTCAGATTTTAAATCATCATAATCTTCATGTATTAAAATGAGCATTAGTAAGACTGATGGGCAAAAAGGAATGCTTAGAATAACAACTAAGAAAATTAATGTAATTTAATCTGCTTTCACACTAATCTGTCAGGAACTTGGATAAATTTGGGTCACACATGCTAAATAGTTAAACATTAATTTCATTAAATAAAGACATGTAAAAAATAATGGAACTGGGTAATGAGAAATGTTCCCTTCATCAGTATTTATAGGAATAGAGATATGGCTTTAGAATCTGTTTGATTCTGCTGTTCCTGAAGCTGATAAATTTTAATAGAGTCAGGTTTGCAGAAGTGCTGGTTGAATTCTAGTGACAATGACTGATGGAATCCAGGTTGGGCCAAAGGTGTGGAATTTTAATTTTTTTTCCTTAGAAACAAGGTCTATTTTAACATTTTAATTTTTTCTTATGATATATATTCCATGTAAATCTTTCTAAGATATTTGGAGCTACAGAAAACTAAAATTACATGAAGGGCAATGGTGGGCAGTCATCAAGAAAGATGTCTAAACCAGCAAAAATGGCAAAAAAGAAGACTGAAATAAGGCTTAATTCACAGTCTGTGTCCTCATAACAGAACCTAACATTTAAAAACAAAATAAAACCAAAACAAAGTTGAAATCTGCTTTAGAGCGTTTCAATTCTAAGTTTTGGAACCCTGCTGAGGAGATTTTTCTCTGCTGGCAGTCTCAGACTAGAACTGTGCTCAGTTGTGGTTCAGTGGAGCTGCCTGGCCCGAGTTAATGGAACTGAGACCAACAAACACAGCTTTGTGCATTTTCTAAAGATGTCCTACTTCCTTGAGGGCCTTGAAATAAAGGCAACATATTGAAGACATTGTGTAAATCACTTCTGCATCAGTAATCTTTTGTGGCACAACATTTTAAACCATTTGCATAACAAAGACGTCTTTAAACCGTCTCCACAGAAGGCTCTGGCTCCAGAACTCTGCCCTGCTCTGCTCATCGAACATCCCAGCCTGAAATATGCAACAACTCGATCTGTAGCAAAACATCCTGTCGGTAAATATGAAAACTAAAGACTATTTTAAGCCCCCATAAATGATTTAAAACATGGCTGTTTCCAGATGTGTTCGTTTCACTGTGTTATGATCACCAGTAGTTGTTTGTTTGACAATATGCTTACTGAATTGAATTTATATGATTATTCATTCTTCTGAAGAGTTCTGATTTACACAATCAGAGTTCTGGCTTGCAAAATACAGGAGCCAGATGGAAATTCTTAAACTCAATTAACTCACTTTTTGCAGAAAATATTTATAATATACGAGGAGAAGGAGGAAGTAACAGAACCAGAAAATCAATGTTTATGTCCTCTAAATCAGGCTGAAACACTGTTTGTTAGTCAGGAAGTTATCCCTATGTGATAAAGGAAGGGGGAACCGATGTTCTGCATGGAATTGGTTAACTTTTTCATTTACAGAATCATAACCATAACAAAAAAATAATCATTACTTTGCTTTTCCTATTAAACAACGAATTCTCTAAAATGCAGCATGAATAGACAGCATGAGGAAAAGAATAAGAGAAACAAATACATATTGGCTCTTTCTCTTACCCTCATAGCACACTCAAAAACATACATACAATTCTTTAACTGACCCAGATTGGTGAGCTAAATTGTCTGTTGCCTTAAATCTCACAGAACTGTGCTTTACAATTCTGCTTAAAAACATTAAACACTGACCCATCAGACACCTATTTTTGCTGTGCAGTGTGAGCCTGTGTTATGTTATTGCAACACTAATAATCTCCCTCATCTGCAAACAGGAGTCGAGGTGGGGCCCCAGCCACAAGGTGTTGCTAGAGCTGATATTTTGGACAAAATGAGGAAGATTGTCAAACATGGCCTTGATTTTGTGCAGCTTTTTAATGAAGGTAATGAGAGATTACAACCTCCTGTGTCACGTCAGTGGGCTGTTTTAAGAGAATATTTAAAATAGGCTGGGCTACAACATTGTCACCCTTCAACAGGTACAAAGGGGTGGGGAGAGAATTGCTCTCTAAAATGAAAGTCAATACATTTGGTAAGATTTGGTTAGACCAGGGTACTATCTAAAATACATCCTGACAAAATAGGTATTTAAAATTCTTTCAGAGTACATTTTATCAGTGGGGTTTGGGGTTTTTTTTGGAAGTAGAAGGAAAATAATGCAGTTTTGCATGCCAGAATTTTCATTATTGTGCTGGAATGGTAAAGATTAAATACCACTGACACCATTCTGTGCTGTGCAGCATTACCAAACACAGGCCTTTCATTGATTTCCTCGTCTACAAAATAGATCTTTTTAACTATACAGGGAAAAGTCACATTTCAGCAGCAAATTTAAGCCTGGGCTCCATATGCTACAATATGTGACTGGATCATCATTTTGCAACTCACTCTGAGGGAACAACCCAATGGTTTGAGCCATTCTAAAGAGAATAAATAATGTATTGTTCTTTTTAACAGGCAGTTGTTCATTTTGACATTAAATTACATTTATTCTTTCTAGGAAAAGAATTTCCACCGTGTACAATCGAGGTTTTTAAAATAATGGAGAAAGTAGATTATCCCAGGAATAAGAATGATGAAATTATTGCTATTATTCACCCTAAACTGCAGGTAAATGCTGGAATAGTTTCTATTTCTGACATTTTCTACGTATTCTTGTGTTGCTCCTGCTACATTGTTGTGTATTTTAGTAATAAATATTTAAAATGCCAATATTCCCAATGGGTTCATTGAATACTGCAGACATTCCCTATGGTTCACTAAGGTCATCACTATTTCAGGGACTGACTTGGGAATCACTGAATCTAAAATAAGTTATGAACCTAAAACTGAAAAGAAAAAGACAATATGATAGCTTATATTTTAAAATATAAATCTAATTTTGAATTCTAAAATTTTTTAGAATATATTTAATCAATTGTGAGCATCTGCAGTTTCCTTCTAGTTCACCTCTACCAGCCTGAAAATGAGGGCCAGACATCCAAAATTACCAGCTGCAGATTAAAAGGAATTCTTCTAAAAGCTTTTGTCATAAACTGCAGAAATTACAATTATTGAGCATAAACTCAGGAATTACAGAATATATAAAAACTTGAAAGTAAATATATCCTCTTTATTTTCTTTCCCTAAGGATCAAGACTGGCAGCCACTGAACAATGGTGATCCTCTGTTTTTGACTCTTGATGGAAAAGTAATTCCATATCAAGGGAACTGCACAGTCTATCCAACATTTATTAATGAAGCTGCATATTATGAAAAGAAACAAGCTTTTGTAAAAACAGAGAAAATTAAACTCAATGCAAAACACCTCAGGTCCTCAGTCTCAAACCAGAGCACTTCTTAAGAGTTTGTTATGGATTTTCTGTTAAAAAGTGTTTTTCTTTGTGAAATCCAGGGTCAGTCAGCAGTAATTCATGGAATAAATAGGTAAATGCAGAATCTAATTTTAAATTGTAATTTAATTAACCTTGCTGAGCACTTTTAAGATGAGACATACTGTCAGAATGCTGATTATGACTCCTGTTTACTTGTTCTAAAGGATTCCTAGAGATGTAAAGAATATTTTATGAAGTTTTTATGAAGATGCTTATCCACAAAACTACATTATATATAAAAAACCTACAGTTTTTCTATTTTATAACCCCAAACCTCCAATAACCAACACTTTTTAAAATGGGGTGAGAGCCTTGAAACTAAGTCCTCAGATAAACTTACAAAATGTGAGACAAAGGAAAAGCTGAGGAGAGAGAAACAAAGGTATATAATAAATGATACTATCTGCATATGTGACTAATTCCCACTGTGCTGAAGTGGAGGCCTTGGGGTTTGTTTTGTTTTTCTTTTTATACTTACAAAGATAAAAATAAGCTAAAAATACAGGATTCCTGAGAAAAATACACTAAAATGAAATGTAAAGCTTTTCCAAGTATTACAAGATTAATTCAAGCTCTTTCTGATTGAACATTGATTCAAAGACAGAAAGGGTTGACTTTAGGAAGTACTGAGTAGCTGGAAACATACTGGAGCAATATTGAAATTCAGAAAGAAAAGATGTGCTTAACCAGTGAACCTTTAGAAGAAAATTTCTATTGCAATGGAAAAACCCAGAAGTTTACAGTCATTTCACTTCCTAGATGTATCCACCTACTGCTTATAACATTTTCCAAACAAAATTTTCATCAACTGTTGTACCCCAAAAGTTTTCAGAGAAAAAGGCAAAATTTAAGCAATTACTTGGGTTTTGATGAAGAGCAATGCACAAACCATACCTGAGTATTTCAGCATGGAAATTCGGAAGGATTCCATACGGGGAGACCTCTCAGAATTTCGAGACTTGTTCTGTATCTGCAGAGAGAAAGTCTGTCATAGGAACTGAGAAAGAGAAGAAAATGGGGGTTTAATTTATTTTCTTAAGTTGTTTTTAACATATTTGACAATTTAGTGATAAACATTAAGAACTTTCATAAGGATACTCTAATTAACTATTAACCGAAAGACTAATTGTCCAGATAACTCCCACATTATACCTTTTGAAAAGTGATGTCTTCCTTATCTACTACTAAATTTAAAGTATTTTTTCCTTGTCTTTGTGTAACTCCTATGGCAATCAAATAAAAACAGAGGACAGAATGTTTATTGAGTTACAAGTTTTATTTCTTTAATTTAAATAAACATTTTTGTATAAAAAGCGCAGAATCACCTGCTCCAGTCATCATTCACAGTGTCCTTGGTGAGAGCCTCGAGACAGGAGCCAGTCTGTGTGATCTGCCAGAGCTCTGGGGCCACACAAGGAGGGTATTTCCTCAGTAAGCACTTTTAGAAACAGCCCCTCAGCTCCTTCCTCAGTTTGTCCGTTCGGTTTTGTACCTGGACACTGGCACAGCACATCCTCTCAGCCTGTGTTCAGTGACAACCCACAGAAACACGGGTCTCTCTGGCTCCTGAGGATGTGTGAAGAGGTATTTTTTTTTTTCCTTTGAACAAGAACTGGCACTGAAAAGGATCCAAACAGAACTGTGGAGTCCTAAGGCAAAATCCTTCGTTGGCAGTTTCGATGCAAAATTAACCAGCAAAGATGAAAGATTCCAAGACCACAAGAATTTTTCTTCTCATGCTCCCATTTCCTACTAAGGAAGGCAAACAATGCTCAGGTATTATATGGTCTGTGAAGGTCCTTCCCCTCAAATTCCTCTGCCCTGTACAAACATAACTGAAGGTTTCCACTGGATCCCGTCCATCCGTGGTAGGAAACACAGGATTCAGCATCTGTAGGAGGCTGGTTGGGCAGCGAGAGCCACGTTCCCAATCCCTGCAAACAGCTCTGTGCTGTCCTTCCCTCACGCTCTCTTCTGGGGTAAGAAAGTCCTTGGGATCATTTTGCCCACAGCAGGCTTGGCTGTAAAATCCAATGCAATTCTTATTATCATTCAAACACAGAACCGAGTTCCCCCGAGCCTTGCCTAAAACAGCACCTTTAAAACAGGCACCACGTGAACAGATCTGATGAAAAGCCATGACACTGAATACACATCATGTATTAATTGAAATTTAAAAGTACATAGAACAAATATTTCTTTTTATGTTTACACATGAAATAGAAAACTAAAAATATAATTCATAGTACTAGGTCATCACAGGTGGTGAAATAAAAAGTGCCACAGAAATGCATTACATAGTTCTCTGAATAAAAACAAGTCTGCAATTGCATTGCACTGAACTTATTCTGTTCATTTTGGGAAGAAATACTGACTTATTGTCCTGAAGTGGTTGAATGCAGAAATGAATTCAGAAAAACTTCCAAGGCAATAACTTATTTTATGTAGCAAGATGCAACAGCATGGAAAAGCCAAGGAGGAAAAGTAAAGACATCATGAGTGGGACAAAGTCAGAAATATCCTCCATCATGAGTGATATTTCTGCCCTATTTTTTTATGGGGAGACACAAACACTTAGTAATAAATAAAGAGCAGTAAACACCACATTATACCCTGGGGACTGCACAGAGGAAAACAGATCAGGCAAAGCTACTGGGACCTGAAGAGGCTTCTCCAACTTGTGGGACTGAGCCTCCAATAACACTGACAGTCAATGCAAAAGCTGCAAATGCATCCAGAACTTGGTTATTTCAAAATAACATACTTCATTTAGTCGTCTTCAGAACTGAAATGCTTTTCTTTGCTCCATGTCAAGAACTTAACTTTGTTCAGAGTACAAAATGAGTTTCTCATGAGTTAGAGATTCCAAAAAACCAGCAGATTGGGATCACGATGACCTTAATTTTCCACAAAAGGAAGAAATATCTCACATTTGACCTTTTTTATCCAGTTAAACATCTAGAGCCAAGTTTGAGTAGCGTCACACAAACTTGGACAGCAATGGTTTGAGAGGCTCAAAACTGAACCAGTGAATAGTCCTTTTTTATTTCAGCTCAGCTGCCCTGATTAAATGGGTTGAAGCCATCAGACTGTGTCACTGAAAGTTCGTGTTTCAGCTGGTTACAGCTGTCCAAAACATCCACAAAGCTTTCAGCATCCACTGCTGATGCTTTTTAACCTTCAGAACAGCCACATATCAAATACAGCACAAGCTAAACGGAAGTTTCAGGCAAATCATCCATTTCTTCAAACGTATTCAAGGTGTTTTTGCTATTAGTTCTTGAATTATCTTGAATTTTGCTTGGATCTGCAAAAAAATGCATTGTAAACAAAACAGGATATGGTAGAAACTGTGTTTGCAAGATCAAAGTTTTGTACATCTTTTTTTTTGTTTGTTAAAAATATGCATTTATTTAAACAGCAAGTTGTCAGTTTACTACCATATCTTACACAAAGTGTTCTGGCTGCCCCTTTTCCTTATTACTGAGCTCATTCTTTAAGCAATATAAATGCTAATTGGCTCAAGAAGAAACTTCAGAACAAGTCTGTCTCCCGGATCCTCACATGCCCCTGTTGTGTCCTGAGTCCTGCTGCCAGAGGGACATTGGACACCTCAGGCTGAGCTCCTTTCTCCACAGCACTCCAGCACTGGCAGCAGAGGAGTCTCTTGGATTTCCTGATCAACATTTATGAGGGGCAATTTGTCATCCAACACCTATCACAAATCATTACATGTTTGTAACCAACCCTCACTCCAAATCTTTTAAAATAATTTAACACCCCTACCATGTAAACTATCAGTTTTTGCAGCAGTAAAGTGTGGCTGAACATCTAGATTATGTGATTTTATGCTTTTAAAGGTATAAAACTATATCCAAGCATTTATAAGAAAAGCTTTCAAAAATACAGTGTCATAAAACCCCACAGTACCTGTTGGCCCTGGATCTTCATTAATAAATGAAACATGTGTTTTCCACTCGGTCCATTTCACTTCATTAATCCTGTTTATATTGGATATAAGTTGTGTTATTATCATGCATTATCTCCCAGCTACATTGCTGCTCATTCCTTTTTATTCTTTCTTGGGACTGTCACACTTTACCACCCACACCTGCTTTCCTGGGACTAAAAGGCTGACTGTCCCTTGCAGTGTTAGGTACCACATGAAGGTGAGAATGATACCAAGACTGCTTTATAATTTAACACACTGTGAGTACAGCTTGAAACACACCTTCAGTATTTTTGATAAAACAGCATCGTTCTTTAACATGGTAATCACCAAATAGCAATCAATTTAAATATAATTACTTTTAAGCTAGCATTCAAAGGAGATTATGACAAAGTAACATTTACTGCATATTTGCACAGTAAAGACATATATGAAGGTGAAAATCTGTTTTCTTACCAAAAATTATCTACACCTCCCCTTTTTTAAAACAATTGGTCATAACTGAAAAAAACACCCCAAATTATATTTTTGTACACCCAGTATAATTTGTAGAGATACTAGGAGTATTTTATAGAGGAGAAGTAACCTTGAAGCAGCCTACAAGGCAGAATTGATAGCACAGTAATCTAGCTTTGCTTTACCTTAAACACACCCTGGTGTCGTTTTCAGCCACTTTACAGCGCTCCCCCAGTTGGAATTTTTTCCTCAAACATTTTGGCAAGAATTTTTCAAATTCCAAAATAGTTCTGGCTCTCTATTAACAATAAATGAGTATGGTTAACCATGTCCAATATTGTCTGATTCCACAGCATATGCAGTTTGCAGCTTCATTATAACATGTCAAGCCTCCATCCCACCACCCACAAGCAACACCAAGTAATGAGGCACATCACTGATTGTTTGTGTGGGAAAATAGGGATTCACAGATTCCTGGTGATGGTGAAACACCATATTCAGGAGAGCAAAAGTCATGAAGGTATGTGACAGTGCATGGGTTGGAAATCCAAGCCACAATATTACTTTTAGACGTTGTTAAATCTGAAGTTATTACAATTCTCTGACACTGAAATTAGTTATTTCCATTATTCACTCACATATACAAATGGGGATTATCATTAATGCCTAACCTGTTGTGACAGTATGAGTTACCATAGACACAGCTCAAGAGATTTTAGCCCAAGCAGCTAAACTTGGGCTAAACAAACTTCACAAAACAAACTCCCAAACAAACCTGGAGTTTCCAGATGTGCTCGCTCTCTTTAGAAATATCCTCCACTGTTTCTCCCATCAACGCAATCAGCATGTTCAAGAGGAGAACAAAAGTCAACACAACAAAAGTTATGAGGAGCAGAAGAAACAGGACAGGATACTTGGAGTTTTGCTGGATCTCCAGATCCCCCAGTCCCAGGGTGAGCTTGAAGAGATCCATCAGCACAGGTCCCAGGCTGCTGTTGGAATGGCATTCACCACCCTCGTGGCAGGTCTCAATCAAGGCAGCAAGAGCTGAGGAGAAGGCAGGAGAAAATTTCAATCACAGTCATGCTTCAGGAATACGTGGCATTTTATCCTAAAGAATTCACAGTGCACTGGCAAAGAGAGCCAGAGCTGCCCAGCAACACCCAGCAGCCAGATGAGGATTTCCAGGAAGCAGAAAGAGCCCATGTCCAAATGGAATTGCAGGCAACTAAGAGCCAAATGACTCATCTGTTCACATCTAAACTTAATATCAAGAAGAAACCCCAACATGAGCTCTCATCATGAAAACAGGGTTCTTATGAATAACAACGCTAAAATTTTTACTCACACAGAGCATCAGTGCTTTTCTCCAGTAATATTTACCTACGCCAAATCCCAGCAAAAACACGATATAGACAACTAAGAATTTTATCACATCTTGCAGGATGACCTAGAAATTAAATGAAATAGTTGTCAGAAATTAAAATTGAGGACTAGTTTTATGCTTATGAATTCTGCAGGGATACAGGTGAGGCACACAGTAAAGTATCAGACTGCTTTCATTGAGTAAACTGGTTTAGTCTCAGTGAGAAACACAAAGGTCTGATTTGTTATCTCATGCTTGAGAGCCTGATGTGTTGAGTGAGGGTGACTAATTCTGTACAATACAGACATTACAGCATGTGATGCAATTAAATTGCAGAACTACATTTGTTGAAAAAAAACACAATTATATTTAGTATAATAATTTAATATAATAAAATGTCAGTTTGAAGATATAAACTAGATTCTGCCACTGAAGTTATCTAGTGTGCCCTGTATAAATTGAAAATAAGATATTTCAATATGAACTATAAAATACACCTAAATTGCTAAATGTACTTGATATGGAATGTAGAACAAGTGAGGATTATAAAGGAGGTAAAACAAAAGAAAAACTTGCCTTTTGAATCATCACACTGTAAATGCCCATGGACTGGAAACCTCTGGTGAAATAGAGCATATTGGCCCATCCAAGGGCCATTGCCAAAACAAGACACACGAGGTGTTCTTTGTAGGAAAACAAGTACAAAAAGACAGAGAAGATCACAAGCAAAGCTTGTATAAAACTGTTAAAAAACAAACACATATATGTAAAAGAGAAATTACTAGCACAAAACTAACAACACAGTGGAAAAATATGAAAACAAGACTTCTTCACTCTTTATGCTTAGTTTGTAATTGCATTCTGCTTTGTATTCTCCCCATGAATACTGCCACTATTTTTTAACAATAAAATAGATCAGTACAGGTGGTGTAAGTATATCAATGTATAAGGATTATATTTATTTAAGCTGACTTTCAGTGAACTATTTTCCCCAGAACAGCTGTTACAGAAAAGCTGCAGGTAAGATTACATCCATCCCTCTAAATCTGATAATCTAGAGAAAAAGATGAGCATTTGCTACAGCAGCACATTCCCTGTGACCATGAGATACAGAAGCATTTTCTACAGAGTATAAAATATATATGTGCACATCAGACTTACAATGCAAAGTGGAACCAGGCATCAGAGAGAATTGACTGCAGGTCTGAGGGCCTGAGCAGAAAGATGGCTACACTCTATGTAGACAGATATAGAAAATATAGATGTGGTAGTAAGGGAAAACAGGTCTCAAAATCTAGTTTTCAAAATAATTTCATTGGTGTTCTAAAATAATGCATCTACTAATAAGACATGATAACTTCCAGAAATAGAGTTGGGTTTTTTTATACAGCTGTAACTTCTAAGTTTAAAATCCTGTCATGTCTGGCATAATTTAAAAGTTACTGGGTTTAATGACTTCCAGTATTTGGCAAAATTATACCACGTTTTTTCCAGCAGAAGTTCTAATTCAGAAGTGTCCTTAAAGCCAGTAATTTGACAATGTTGATGTTATAAAAATATCAAATCTCTGCCTTGAAAATTTGAAGGGAAAACACCCTCATAGCTGTTTCACAGAGCAATACAGGTGTTAATAAAAAGTCTTACCTCTTTAATGGCTAAAAATATTGCTCCTAACATAACCATCACCTGTCCTGACAACTGCAGCCATCCCACTCCACGTGTCAGAGCAAGTGGATAAGGTGGAGCCTGCAAGACAGGTCCAAAAATAAAGACTCAGTTTTACCTGAAGGGTAAAAGGCAAAGCAACAAGAAACCTCCCCACATGGGTACACAATTTATTTCCCTTTCTGTAAGGATTTTTTTCATAGTGGATTTAAAGAATTAACCCCTTAACAGATATATATTTGAAATAGCAGAAGTTTCTCTATTAACAGAAAAATACCTTTTCCACACTTTCAGAAATTTAACAACCTGTCTTTGTGTCATGTATTTGTATTTTGGGTCATTTTCACAAAATGCAAATGCAGTTATATCCTCTTACTGCTCTGCTTCCTTCCAGGTACCTGATGTGGGAGAGCCTGGTCTCCCTACAGCCAGATATTCCAACAACTGCTTCTGGTTTAGCATTTTCAATACAATTCAGGAAACCCTACTGCATTTTAAGTCAGTGAAATTTGGTGAGATTCAGTCACTGTACTCACTTTATTTTCATTAGGCCTGTGGTAGGAAACTAATGTTAAAGTTACATTGTACAGGAAATAAAAACAGCACGACATAAAAAACATGTGTCGTGCAAACTTCTTCCATTTCATTCGCAGGAGGGAATTCAGAGGCTCCAAAGTCAGCATTTCATGACGATTCTGTAGGGGAAAAAAAACCAAAATAAACCAATTAAAACTTGAATTTCAGTCATGTACTTTGTGCATTTCACTCAGTTCCCACCCTTTCTGATCCAGAAACACATCTGTGCTCAGAGACGGGTCAGACCCCAACGTGACAAGATGCAATGGGACAGCTCCCACTCATGCTGGGGTAACCTGCCATTCTCTGTCTGCTAAGTTATGATGGAGCTAAAACTGTCATGTGAACTTCTGGTCTTATGGTTTTATGGCAGTATTAGAATTGAGCAAATGTAAAATTCTGGCTTTGAAAAGCAAACACTCCTAAACATGTAAAATACATACCTATTAAGTGAAGTTTATTTGGCCTGACCAGCTTGGCCGTACTTAAACACAAGGTAAATTAATGCTTCTAATGCAGGAAAAGACATTCCCAAAATGCCTAGTCCATGTTTCAAGAGCTGAATGCATAGTCCCTTACAGGTGACCATCTACAGAGGTATAAAATTTATCTTGCTCCCGATACAAAAACTAAGAACAAAAATTACAGTTTACTCTTACAAGTAATTCATTGGAATACATAGACTAACACATCTGAAATGAGTGTACTGTTAGGAAAAAATGGATCTGTATTTTAAAAATAGGCAACTTACACCAATATTTGTGTTATAGACAATGATTTCCAGCACTGAGTTGTCTGCAGTGGTGTCCAGTTCTGTCAGGTCGTACAGAGAAGACTGAACAGGACCATAAGCCCAGTCTGTGAATTTTCTTGACAGGCTCCTGTTCGGCTTCTCTCTGATCTCTCTGCTCAGGATGTATTTCAGAATCTAAAACATTAACAGGATCATTTGTGAGCAGCTGTGTTGGTCATGGGAAAGGGGAAAGCACATGAACATAACAGGCTCAAACCCCACCCTTTTGCCTGTCACATTTTGTACAGTTGTGCAAAGTCAATGTATTTGTAATTGTGTGTAGGAGATGAAAGACCTCCAAGAATTAAATGCAGAGTTTCTAATGCCTCCATATTTTCTGTCAGAGTACTTTTTCTAAAGGATAAAAGCAAAATTTTCCATGTGTTCATTTATGTCTTCCTTCAACTTAAACAATTCTAAATTATCCCATTGCCAATTTTTTACAATTCAGTAGATTTCTGAAAACCAAATTCTACAGCAGCGTAACAGAGCAGTTCCAGTGAGTTTTCTGAAACTGTTCAAAGACTGCATAAGTGCAATATGGTAATAAATGCAGAATTTCTGAGTTTCTGTGCAACAGAAGGGTTTGCCAAGCTGTTTTTAAACAATGTGTATTTTATACAGAGAGGGGGAGTTACAGGGAAACCTTGAAAGGTAGAAGCAACGTGGCAATGAAAATGTTTGCTTGTGTTTTAAACAAAATTAGCTCACTAAATACTACTGATACATAACAGCATAACCAGGCTGGAAAAGGATGTGTCAGAGCACTAGTTTCTCTTAGATGCTACTGAAATAATACCCACCTCTAATTTCCCAGTTTTTGCAGCCAACTGTAGTGGTGTCAAACCCTCCTTATTCTTTGTTGTTTCCAAATTTTTGTCTTTACTTTTCAACAATATCATATCATACATTCTGATTACAAAATCATTCTGAGTTTTGGAGTCCTCTGCCACAGTAACTAATGCATGGAGGATATTGTTTCCTCTGGAATCCTGAGAAGAAATATTAGTCCTGGCATTGTCCATTAACAGTTGAATTATGTCTGGTTGGTTGGTACAGGCAGCTAATGCCAGTGCAGTTTCACCTACAAAATCATAAAATGCAACATGTGTTCATGTTTTATTACAAATCAGATTATAAAAGAGTGACTGTGTTAAGAATCTTAACATATGAAAGTACATTTACTATTGCTTGTATTGAGTTAAGCTCTTGTTTTATAAAAGCTTTGGGTATTCCTTCTTAACTTTTCCAGAAAGATCACATTTCCACTTACCAAAATAAAAGCCTTCATGCTTATGTTTGGGATTAAAGAAAATACCCTGGGCATGAGCATTGACATCAGCTCCTTTTTCTATGAGGCTCTGGGTTATTTCGTACTGTCTCCTCTCAATGGCAATATTTAGAGCTGTCTGGCCTGGAAAAACAGACACAGGAATCTCTCAAGTACATTCTGAAATATCAATGATATTTCACAGTGAATAGCACCAGTGAATAAATGAATTAAAGTTGGTTTAGGAATTTAAACCATCATTAGAGTGTTTGAGGAGAATGGTATTTTATGGGTGGTATGTTTAACCATATACCTGAAACTGGTATCAGATGGCAGTACCTTTATATGCCTCTTCTGTGTAAGCTGCATTGATAAATCTCTCCAGAATACCATTTTCTTCTGCAAAGGACAGGAGCATGTTCACTATCTCATTTGTGTTCTCGTTGATGTTCAGCAGAGCTTTCATCAGACAAGTTTTGCCGGTATCTGAAGCTGTGAATTTTTTCATCAGATAATCTACAAGAGTGAATTTTTAGGATTAGATCATCATGATTTACTAAACTTTTGTTAATTAAGGGTTAAACCTGAAGGATATATATGAACATAAACTCTTTGCCACTGGTTTTCCTGTTGGACATTCCACCGCCATAACTCCAGACAGACCCAAATTCACAGGAAAGTAGCTGCTGCACAGAGATAATTCCCAGTTTTAGGCTGCAAATGTGCTGCCAGAAGAGCCAACAGTCTCCCCCTGGGTATCTGCACCCCTCACCTGGCACAGTCATGTTTGTGCAGGCACTGGATCGCTCCTTCAGCTCCCCAAGCAGACACTGCAGCTCCTCCACGTTCCCCTCCGACACTGCCCGGAATAGGAATCGCTTCAGCTTCTTCCTGGCACTGGTCTGCTCAGGCCCTTGGGATATGTTAGCACTGGATTGCAAGAAATAACGAAATTCCTGATTCCATTTACTATATTTTTTATATTATTTTCTACAGAAGAGGGAATAAAAATACAATTACTTGCCTCAGACAACACATACCTGCCCTGCTTCCACATATATCTCGGCATGGATCTCACAGAACATTTCCCAGCTTGCTTATTTTCAGGTAAGTGGTTATTGAGGTGTTTTAAAATAAACCAGCACATTTTTCAAGTGTTTTGTTTTGTGTTCTCACCAGTTCACCCATTCTTTTAGAACAAAGGCTGAGAAATACTTCTTTGATCTGCCCACAACTCACTGACTTCAGTGCTGAGGTTCCTGATGCTGCACTCCAGCAGAAGATAAGTTTTTAACCTCATATCTGACAACTCTTTCCTGATTATCTGTTATTCTGGAATAAGAATGATTTAATAATTCCCCCAGTCAGAAACACCCCCAGCTCATGCCTAGCTGTGCATGGTGTGTAGGTCCTGTGTTGTCATCTAGAAAACAGACTTTAGGTATGAAGAATCCTCACACTAAGCATGAAATCTGAGAAAAGCAGAGATTAGAGTTGTTTATTTCAACATTTAATTATAGAGGAATCAGAAATGCGTGCACACACATGACCTTTTTCCTTAAACATGGCAGGCAAAATAAGGAATATCTTTCCTGTCATAAACTTAATCCATTGAAAATGTACTGAGAAATATTCCTGTCTCCACTCACCAGCAACTGTCTACATTAGGACTATACTCAGTGGCATCATCCTGAAGAGACTGTGGGGAATCCATGTCTTCCCCATTTCCAGAAGCACTAAAGAAAACAGAAAAGCACATGTGCAAAGATATTAGAAGATATTTTAGCAAACTGCATGAAGAATCAGTCAGTGGTAGGAGGCAGTATCTACAGCAGAGCTAAAATTAGTCTAATTTGAAATTGTGCATTTTAACTCTGGAATTTTATCTCCCGCATGAATTTTAAAATAAGTGGTAAAAATTGAGAGACTCACAGGATTTTATTATATTTAAAAAAAACACATTAGGAAAGCAATCTGCTTTGTGTTATATTATTTCACTACAGATCCTGAAAATGTGAGAAGTTTTTTCTTCCTTTTTTTTTAAATGATCACTGCATCTTATGCATCATCCTGAATGCTACAATCTTCATTTTCACATGCTTAATTTGTCATTTGCCACAAAACAAGTGCTAAATCAGTAGCAGCACGTGGGTTGCAAGCCCAGAATGGAAGTGATTTACCCAAAGTTTTACTACACAGAACACTGTTGGCAACTCAGGAGCATTTTGTGGCTGACTTGAATGGAAGCTTCAGCTAAAAGAAGTTGAGGACTGGGCCTTAAATACGTATTTAGTTAATATATTTAGAGGATTTCAATGGAACTGGTATTTTGTAATTGCTGTACATAATTTCCAGACAGCCCTACAAGCAGATCTGACTTTAAAACTCATTATAATTTTTCTTACTTTTATTTTTGTTTTCTGCAAGGTTCAGATTTGATGAACTACCTCAGGTTAATAATTTCAGGAATCTGAACTATAAGTTATTGACAAAACAGATGCATGGACAGCAATGCAGGTGTCCAGCACTGCTCTGAAGGTATTCCCTTCCCTTTGAACTAAAGCTGGGAGCTCAGAGTCTGTTTTTATTCCATCTGTCATTCCTGCAGAAAATTGAGGAATGTCTGGCAAAAACTGTGTGTGTCTTGTGCAGGTCAGTCTCTGAACGAGAGGAAGAAATTTGGATCTCTCTCCTCTGAAACCAAAATCAGACTGTCAGCTAATTCCAAAAAGCTGAGCAGACACCCATCAGAAACACAAAAACCTTTGGCCATTCTGGGCTTTTGGCAGATTTGTTACATATTTCCCTTATTCATCGTTATTGGCTGTTGGCACCTCACACATTTTTAAAAATGTCATGCATTCTTCCCAGTCATAATTTTTCTCTATTCATTCAGCATAAATGGCTGCTTTAAACATTTCAGACTCAGCATTTTCACGTTGCTTGATTGCTAATGAGCAATAGAGGGAGGACGTCAGCACCCAGCTGGGAACAGGGTTTGCTAAATTAAGCTGTGGAGTTTGTTCTAATGTACCATTAATGAGAGGCTAAGAATAAAAAAAGTACTGATTTTAAAATTACTTAAAACTGAGGCCTGATTTATTCCATGCAAGTGTCAGCAGTAGATAAAGATAAGTCATCTACTGATCAACAATGGACTCCAGTGAAGTTCTGTCTTTGAAGTGACCAAAAGCTATGAAATCTCATGTGAAATTCTAGCACTGGAGTCTAAGGAGAAATAAGGAGTAGCTGCTGGAAAGAAAATAGATATCTATTTGCAGTATGACTATTGCAGATGCATCTATAACTTACCAGGGACGAATATTTGAATCCATTGGTTTTGAAAACACAGGGGGAGATGTGTTATTTGGAGTGGCATTGCTTTCAAAACCATCAATCTCCAGGAAAAAGTGGGAACTGTTGAAGACAGTGCATTTAAAAAATATTAGTAATAAAAGGCAAGTCCAACCACAGACCAAGCAGAGCTCTACAAGTACATACCTAGGGCAGGCTTGACAATTAATCTTTTCTGGCATTACCTAACAAGATGTTGGAACAGAGGCTTATCTGCTTTCCCCTGGGGAGATCCCAACCTCCAGCACTGTGCCCAGCTCTTTCATGCTGGCAGATGGGCAAAATTCCTAAGGTATTTTTAGAACACATGGCATCAGATCCTGACATGTCTAAGAGCAACCCCAGCAGCCCTAAACCAGCCTTGCATTCAGCTCCAGTGCAAAGAGCCAAATGCAACCCCAGTCACTGCTCAGCTACACACTCACAACTGCTTTTTAATCTACTGCATCCTACTCCCTGTTTCTCCAGCCAGGAGCCATCAGATGGATCATTTCAAACCCATCAGCAGTGATAATGATTAAATCAGAATGTTTGAAAGGTCACATGTTAAATGACATCAGGCATTTCCACCAGCCAGGACTGACTGTGTCCTCTTGCCAGTCATGCATGACATTTAACTATTTTTTTTCCTGATAAATAATTATATAAATATAGATGTAATTATTTATAGTGAAAAATATAATTTGAAGCAACACAGAAAAGGCAAATGAAAATAATAGGAAGATATCATCCTTTAAAAGCCTGCAGAGTTGAGAGGCAAAAATCAATGGCTTGGTATTACTGGATCTCACTAAAACATTGCTACAGTTCACCACAGAGAGAGAAGTTCCAGTGGTGGGTGTAGCAACTCCCACATGGGCTGCTGTTCAGAAACTGTGTTACATTTCTAAAAATGTTCCAGTAGTCACCTGGAAAATGCTTCCGATTCATTTAATATTTATGGTTTAGTCCATAGGGTATTTCTTTCTCTTTTTTAACTGCATCTTCCCCAAAGAATCCTGTTGAAGTCAAGTACATGTAGTGATGCTAAAATGCAGTATGTTGTTAGAACCCTATTGAACAACCTGCTGATGGTTTGCTAAAAACAGCATGACCTAATTCATCTCACTTTCCAATGGCTTGGTGACCCAAGTGATAATTCACTGTGTGTAGTTATTTAAACTTTTATGACCTTTTAACATTTGAGATGTGCCTGTGAACGTGTTCTAATCAGGCAGCAAGTAAAATGTCACTTCTGGTTAGCAGGACTGTGTCCCTGAAATTACCTGGGCAGGGGGTAGGAAAAACCCAGGCAGAACCAGGACCATCACTTGTGCCAGTCACTGCTGTTTCACTGAGGTCTGGACTTGGCAGAGGGACTGTGGAGGAGTGGAAAAAACAGGGATTCATCCTGTTTTTTTGCATTCCTTGACCATGAAGTGCAGGAGCTGTCCCAACAGGCAAACACCTGTTGGAGGCTGCAGCGAGGCTCCCTAAAGCCAGAAGTGCCAAGGTCTGGGCTCTGCTGGACCTTCTCCCCTGAGGGGACAGTGCATCACAGGCTGATGTCTCGGAGCAGCTCCTGCTCTCCCAGCAGTGTGTTCCTGCTGAAGGTTTTGGCAGGTACAGCAGCTATGGAGTGAACCCTGTTTTGGAGGCTGCCAGACCTCACCTACCCTGGCATGTGGGTTACCTGGGGATATCATGGGGGAAAAAAAACCCCAAAGCCACCGTGCAAAGCAGTTGGAGAGCTGCCAGCAAATACCCAAGTGCTTACGTGGCCCTGGTGCACTGCCCACAAACATCAGCAGGCTCTGACAACGTTTGCAGCCTCCTCCCAGTTTTCCTGTACTTAATTATATACTGTTAATCCAAATTCCAGGGCCTTCGAGAAGAGAATGTCATTGTCTTTCAAGAAAATGCATATTGCCAGTATGTTTTGTTGAGTGAGAGATGCCACCCTGGAAGTGCAGCAGCTGCTGGTGGCACAGTTGGAGGAAGTGTCTTGCAGCAACAGGATAAAGCAGCACAGAACATATAATTAATAGAACATGTTAAACCCCTGCATTAAAATTCACGGGACCTGGGTGCTGTGTATCACAGGAATGTTGTGGGCCACACCTCTCTTGGTGTGAGAGGTGGGAAAAACCCCACAGTTACTGTTCTGGAGGCCACAAAATTGAATGTGAGATATGAGGTAAGTAATTGAGGGTTTGGGTTTGGCAGTGTTCTTACAACCACACAATCTCCCATGGAATTGCCCCTTTTTGAAGTACTGGGTGTATCACGAGCTGTTCAGACACCTCATCTCCCCCATATGCCACCAGAGAGCTTCTCTTTTGGATTTAATGACAGAAAGACAAATGGGACCACCCAGGCAGTGGGTCTCAAATAACTAATGGCACCATTTCTGTGAAAAGTGATTCCTCTGATTATTGAGAATTATAAATGTCAGAACAGCCACAATTGCCTAGGCCTTCAGAGTTTCAGAAATTGCCATAATAACTAGTAATTATCATCCAGAGTGAAAAGTTTATGAATGAAAATTCAGCCTTGCTCTACAGCAACTTAGTTCCCTTCAATAGCATGGTATCAGGCAGGAATTACAGCTTATATTTCCCCACTCATATTAAATACAAACCCTTAGTCCCTTTATTAATTCTCTAATATAAATTATGAATGAAAGTGAATATTTTATAAAACAATGAAGTATTGTTAATCAAAATAGATCAGAAACAGACTTTAAAGACTGGCATATGAGCCTGATGGCTCTGGGACAAGGGTTAAATATTTGTCCCATTAGAGTAAACACATCATATGTGTTCCTAACTCTTCCACTCATAAACACCATAAGCATGGTCATGTGAAGGCATCTTGTGTTACCAGGTCTCTCTCACTCATATTTGCAGTGTAAATACAGATGTTAGTGGTATCTCAGTGCCAACATCAACTAAAGGAGATAAACCAGGGAGTTTTAGTGGTTTAGGCTGAGCTGGAGTCCTACCTTTTCTTCGTGGGAGTGCTTTCAGTCACCTTTTTCTCTTGCTGGTTTGAAGGGGGAATTCCAGACGGATTTGTTTTCTTGCCCATTAGTGGAACAACTTCGTTGTTATCTTTAATCATGTTCCTGCAGTAGAGAGATTCATGGTTACTTGACTCCTGTTCATTTGAAGGAAGTATAGTGACCAAATTGCCTATTTATACACAAATAAACACACAAATATTGATTGGGCTTTAAGTTTTTCATTTTTCAGTTGCTAAGCACATGCCCTTTCATGTATCAAGGCAGGAGGGTTTTATACTTGACTCATTAAATTTAATTCTAGATGAAGTACCATTAAAAGTGGCACCAGTAGAACTATAAATTCAAGCCTGTGCCTAAATTAAACTGAAGGGGATCTGTCAATCACAACGACAGTGGATGTTATTCAGAGAAGACTTTTAGAAGTACCTCTAAAGTTTGTGAATATTTACAGTTAATCTGAGTAGTCTGCTTTGTCCAAGACAATTTCAGAAAGGGGTAAATTCCAGAAAAAATTCAGGAAGGTCTGTGCAACTGATACAATATTTGAAGGAAGGTTCCAGACATGAAGGGTAATGAACAAAAAATCCCTGAAACTTTTCACTGCCTTAGAATAACTGAAGTAAGAGACTGAATCCAGTGCCCAAGCTGAGCTCAGCTAAACCATCACATGCATAATATCCAGAATTTTTGTGTCCTGGTGACATTTCTCAACATTTCTTCAGGAAAAAGAAAAAAAAAAACAACAACATGATTCTACTGGATGGAAATTGTCACCACCACATGACACAAAAGGATCTTAATGCACCTTACCTGCTTCTGAACACCCACAGCATGAATTCTGTAAGTAATAATGAATAACTATCTCCCTGTTTCTCAATCTAACACTCAAGGGCATCATTTTAAATCACCCAGGATAATTTGAAAGCGAGAAGGTGAGTTCAGGATACATTAAAATTCACTGAATGTAAAACCATTACGAGGTCAGGGATGCATTTCCCAGGAAATGAGGGGAGTGCCCTCCATACCCAAGGACAAATGGCAAAAATAATTTGCCTGCAAGTTTGCACAAAATGAACTACACATTTTTTTCCCTCCTACTCCACTTTCCTTAATGTGACAAATGTACACACAAAACTTTCTGCTCCTGTCACAGTGCTGTCAATGATTCCTTCCAGGATTCCTTCATTATGGGAATATCAAGATACAAAGAGCAGATTGAGGAGTGTGTTTGAAAAGACATGACACCTGGTGTGAGAGAGGAGCCAGGAATATCAAATACATTGATATTTGAATAGAGTCTATTAATGCATAAACAACAAATGTTTAATTATGGGAATTTTCAATCCCACATACAGAGAACTGAGAACTTACAGGGCCCAAACACATGTAAGTGCAGCTGTCATTTCTTGGCACTAAATGGAATAGGAATTTCAAATATTGGAAAGGACGCCTTACCTTGCTAAGGTTGGCTTAAGAAACAGGCATGGAAATAAATTTTTATTGTGTTTTCTGCCATTGATAGATGTGTTCACACTAGAGCAACTTGGAAACATGCCTAGTTTGGATGCATTTCCTAAGAATTCATATCACAACTTCCATACATATAATTTACAAAGAGAAAATATTTTTACCTAGTACACTTGCATACAAAGCACGTTGTAGCTTTCACTGCAGTAAATGCACAAAAGAACTGAACTTGGATATTCCACAGTCGAGGCAGGAGAAAGGTTTTTGTCCATGCCATTGGAAATGCAATTCACGTAGTCTCTAGACACATGTTGTGTCAGTGAATACACTGATAAACATTTAGTCTTAACACAGCTAAAACAAATGACTGTTGTCTTACTCAGTTCATAAATAATTCTGCTATTTACTTCTTACTAAGTACTTTAAGAATACAAAGCAGTGTATGGGCAAAGACATTTCCCATCTCAAGGAAGAGGCAAATGTGGCACTGGACATAAATCACATATGAGGGGACCAGAATATGATGGAGATGGACATTAAATAGCTGCACTAAATGAGTGACTTTAAAGCAAGAGAATAACTGGAAACAGACTAAAAATTCCAAAAGTGTGTCAGCAAAAGGCGTTGCCAAATTCAGAGGGGCACAGCTGGGAGGTGAGCAAAGTCAGAGGGGTCAGAGAGAGGGGCAGGAAGAGCTGGAGAAATAAAGACCAAGGTTAAATCTCTAAAGCACAGAGTGGCCACAGGGAAGAGCCTCTCCTTTGTGAGCGACGCTGGAGCTGCTCAGACACGGCAACACGTTTCTGCAAGGGCAGCAGCTCAAAGCCTCATCTCTGCAGCCAGTTTTCACCACAGAGATTTTAGCAGTGGCTCAAGCACAGGCTGCATCATTTAGGAGAGGTGAAAATAGTCAAAGATAGCACTGGAGCTGTACTGAATGATGAAGGGCTGCTGAGCCATCAGCGATACAAGAAAACACTCTGGGAAGGAAAAAGATTTTCACTTTTGTATACAGGGACTAAGCTTTCAAAAGCACACAGGACATTTGACTGTAGTCTCAGCCAAAAAGCCTGTTTTAAATGAGATCTCAGCCTGCACAAGTAAATAACTGCAGGCACAACAGCAGAGGTACCTCGTTACAGTGCTGAGGTAGCATCTGCTTCATTTTTAATCACGATTAATTGTATGCTTACAGGAAAACTAAGCCAGGGCCTTCATCAACAGCTTCCAGGCCACTATCATTTTCTCTAATCTATGACATGTAGAGAAGAATAGTGCAACAGCCTGAAAAGTGTCACATCATGTCGCTTATGTAACCTGATATGGAGCATTGTCTTTTATTGTGACTATTTTCTACTCCCATTATCAAGTTAATTGTTACTTACGGGCCACCAGGGAAGTGGCTTATTTGAAGTCGGCAGCAAGACAAAACCACTGCATTGATTTATAGTATTGAGAATTACTTTGAAGGGGATCTGAGGACATCGAGGACTTGGTATGTGACCCCCAGCAGAGCATTTATCTGTAATGGTGAATGGGATTCTGCCATTCCTACAGTAAGCAGGCACTTTACACACTATCACAGACTCACCTTGTGCTTGCCTGAGAACAAGAAAAATCATACATACCTATAACTTCACAGCTCAATAACTATAAATGAAGTGGCTAAACAGAGAATCCTACAAATCAAAAGAAACCCTCAGCTGTGATATCATGGCACAAAGGTCTTTTCTTCCCTGGGGGCAGAGGAGTGGAAGTGACTGTCAATAACTGTTCCATTCACAGGATCCTTCCAACAGCCCATGACACTTGCCAGCACCTGCGACCTAATTTCTTACTGGCTTATAAAAAAGAAATTCCCCTCCCTGAGGGGAAAGCTGATAAAACTTCATTTTGACTTTTGTGCATTACTTAAAGCATTATGAGTCCTATCAGCAGAAAGTTTCACTTGATAGAAAAGAGTTTCATATTTTTGTAAGATTTTTAAACTTTTGAGGGGCATTAGTATGCACTATCAAAAATTCATTTGCTTCTCAGGGAGAAATTTGTTCTTTCCTATGAAGGTTTTTCCTAACAGAAGTTTAAAAAGACTCTGAAAAGCAATGTTTTTCCCTGAGGAAAAGTGCTTTAAGCTTATTTCTGAATTAAATAAAAAGAAGAAATTTTACTGAGTTGAAATAAAAACTATTCTACCAAGCCTGGGGATTTTACTTTCAACAGTCTCCACAGTAACTGAAACTTTCAGTGGAAGATGAATGTAATAAAGTTTGGCCTGTATGATATTATATTTTCGATCCCCTTGGCACAGGAATTAGGAAGTGCAACAGTGATTTGGGGCTGGCAAATACAAATGAAATCAGGTCCATCTTTCTTCACTCCTGAATGCCCAAGGAGTCGACGTGGCACAGCTCAGGGTTTATAAACTAGAAAAACAGAAACAAGCACGACAGAAAAACCTTCTCCATTTGAACAGCTGGTTTTGTGTTTGTCTCTTGAAGATTTCACTCTCTCCAGAAACATCACCTGCCCCAAACACCCACAGAGCTCCCGGAGAACTTACCCTGCTTACGACACCTCCATTCCGGCGGGGACGAGGAGCCTCGGAACGGCCCAAGGATCAAAGCAGGGCCCTGCTGATGCTGCAACAACATCCAGAGCTCATCTGCCAAAGGAACAAAACCACGTTCGAGCTCAAAACTATCCTAAAAACGCCAAACCACCCTTCTCCAGTCATCCAGGGTGCTCAGCTGGGGAGCTCAGACAGGGCCAGCGCCGGAGCACCGCGGCCGTACGGGGTTTGCTACGTCTGAAATTAGGGAGCAGAGAGGAACTCGCTAGACAACAAAGCCTTTACCTCACAGCTGCCAAAGCGGGATGACACACACACACACACGCAATAATTATACACTGAAATGTTACTAAAGCTGAGTTGCTCAGGGATGACTTAATGGCAGCAGTAGAATATCTCAAACCATCACTGCTCTGCAGTTTACATACTGTTTTCAAAGGAAAATGGTTATGCACATGCATTTGGGTTGTAAATGACCCCCTTTATGTCATGCTTAGTTTATTATATAGCATGGAACTACTCCAAAGCAGAAATGAGGAAAGGATCCTGCTAAGTGCTCCAGCAAGCAAAAGGATTTTGCTATGACTTTGAAAAATTAGAAAAGGCCTTAGAAAAATCTTATTTCACAGCGATAATGTCAGTGAAAACACGGTGGGCGTGTTTAGATCTTTCCCCACCTATAATAGTTTCTGATGAATGTGTACCCAGAGGGGCTGTGGGAACACAGACAGTTGGGTTTCACATAAACAGTCCTGGTGTTACTTTGTGCTGCATGTCTCAGCTTTGCTAATTCTGAGCTGTTGAGCAATGGCTGATGCAGAATTCTGTTCTGGGACATGCCAGAAGAGTGACCATAAGTTCTTCTGCTCTTTTTATAGAGTTCCTCCTTTATCACCAGAAATAGTACGTTAAAAATTTGTGTGTCTTTGCCTGTGAGACCTGCAAGGTGCAATTACAGCTGCTGGTCTTTACTTGATTATTAGATGGGAGTTTAAGGTGAACCATGCAAGCAGCAGAACAGGAATCTTTGCCCAGCTGTAGCCAAGGGAAGAAAGAGTCAAGTTTTTGTGGGGTTTTGGTGGCTTTTTTTTTTTGGTAGGAGGTAGATAAAAAATTTGGAAGTAAAACCAAAATATCTTAGGATACTATGACCTAGATCCAGAGATTTTAATGCAAAGAATATGGCTTTAAAATATACTTACAAACTGCAACTAAACTCTTCCTGTGAAGTCGATATCTTTAAAAACAGGACTGCTGGGTATTCCATTTGCCTCAGATCTCACTGTGTGAAATGCCAGGAGCACTGCACTGTTCCCTGTAATGAACCAGCTTCCCAGGAGCTGTGTGGGGAAACAGGCCCAGGCCGGTTGGATTTGGCATCAGGTGGAAGTGCTGAGCACACATCCACCTTTGCCCAACACAAATTTGTGGTGATATATTCCAAACCCTGTATCAGGAGATATCATTCACATCTTGTTAAATGACTGTGCCCAAGTTAATACATGACAACCCAGAGTCAGCTGCTTTGATGGTCTCTTACCTGCTGGTGTAATGACCTGGAAAAGGGACTGAATCCTGCCATTTCATCCTGCCTGGGAGAGCAGCAGCTCAGATCTCAACACAAAATGCGAGAAACTGTTTAATTGAAGTCGCTCTGAGAATAGAAATGTGAAAAGAGGCAAAGCTACATTAAATCTGGGTGAAGGTGCATTTGAGGACTGTTGCTTTACCTCTGGCATCAACCACAGTGACAGAAATTCTTCTGCTAAGGAGAGAAAATGGGTTTGGCAGCGAGCAGGACTTTGAACTCAGAAAGCAGCTATATCTGAAAGCACCCAGATCTGTGTGGTTTAGCAGAATATAGGCCCTAGCAGTGTGGTCTATTTATAATGTAGTGGCAGTTATCCAAAGAGAAAAACTGGGACAAGCTACAGCAAGAAAGGCAGAGCCCTGCTCCAAACCTGCCTGTGGAGAGGTGCAGAAGATTGTGTGAGCTGTTGACAGTTCACACACACAGGTTACACTCCATCCTGCCTGCTCTGTGTTAACAGCTTCTTGTTGCATTACAAGGACAGCCTTGACTCACTGAACCTGAGCGTGGCCTTCCCTGTGCAACTGTGAGATTTAGGGAACTGCAGCCCAGACTGCTTGGAGCTGATCTGCCTGAAAACAGACAAGGACATCCCGTGCCAACCATAGGATGGCCTGAACTGAGGCTCAGTCTGAACTGAGCTATTTTTAAGGACAGGCTTAAGAGCCAGGAAATGAGAGGCAGAAGTACAGTAAGTCACACTCGTGCAAACATTTTCTTACAGTTTTAATCATTAACCTGCTCAACCTTTATGTTCCCAGACCTGCTCCACCCTGAGGTTTCTGACAAGGACAGCATTTTTCAGAAGCCATGGAGGGTTTTGCAATAGGCTCTATCATGACTATGTAGACCATTTTATAGAGCTTTACAGCACTCACCAGCTGCTCCAGCTACCAAAGAAATGCCATAAGGGTCAGGAATGTTAATAACATGCATCCCTTAATAAAAATTACTTGAAAAACATTAGCATTGGATAGCCTGTGCAGCACAAATAAGCAGCAGAAGTCCTATCTGGCATTATTTTGTTTTCCTAGCAAGTGCTAGACTCACTAGAAACTAAAATGAACAAGATGAAGGAAACCCCAGATGGGAGGGATTGAGCATTTGGAGTTCTGCCATCTGACATCAGCAAGTCAGAGCTGCATTTGTTCCTCTGCTGATATATGACATGATCCCAGTCAAACCCACATTAAAAGTTATTCAGATTTTGTATTTAATTCTGTGATTTTCAGTACCCTAACTGGTAGTCACTAAGGGGAAGAGCCATTATCTGAAAGCATTTTTAACATTAGGTAACAGCAAGAATAATTGTAAATTACTTACTGTCATCATTCCATTCCCCACTCCTTAAAAATAATCCACAATTTAAGTATTAAAACACTGAGCACTCCAAGTAGTAGTAGCAGCCCAATTCCACTGAGCATAGTATTTAATTGATTTATAGGGATATTTCATGATTTTTCACCGTGGAAAAAGGGCATTTAAATTGTCTGAAAAGGACTCAGAGTTGTTGATCTGTTGTGGGAAGAATCCACAAGACATCCCACAGAGACTGTGGTTTTAAAAGAAGGTGTATGCCTTCAATGCTAGCAGTATAGTTTATGTTGAAAAGCCACATGAAGATTTACCTGTGAAGTTAAACTTGTTCTGGGATCATATCTCTGCTGCTACACACATGTACAAAGAGCTTTCACACCACTCCAGGCAACTGAGTAGCACTGACAATTATTTAAATAATATGCTCATAAACTGTGAGATAAGAGGTTGTTTTATGCAGCTGAGCAACATAGAGAAATGAATTAGCCTGGAAGTGTGTGTGACTATCACCTAACAGCCTTGTGGAAAATCATTCCAGGAAAATACTGGTGTATCACTTACCAGTTGGTGCAGTCTGGACTGCAGGGCCAAGTCAGCCTCTTCAGCAATGTTGTTGTGCATATTTGCATGATATACATGCCTGGAGATTTTATCCCCCAGGATTCTTGCCATAAAAGAACAGTCCCATTCACAGAAAGATAAAGAGTTACTGAAGCCTCCAGTACAACTATGTCACTATGCAGCTTCTTCTTTTGCTTGGGCAAAAAAGCAAAGGTGGAGGAGTCCAAAGAAACAGCATTATTATTGGGACTGCCATAATTATCCAATAGTTAGACATCCTAATTAATTCCTATTCCTCTAAACTATGCTTCCTGGGCCCAATTCAAGCAGCTCTCCAGCTGCAGTGCTGCTGCTGCCCTGAGACTCCTTCCTGCTCATCACAATGAGTAGCCCATGATACTCTTCAGTCTGTCTCTGCTCTTTTCTTCCTTCTTAATAGCTGAGCTTGGGAACTTGAACATTTATATTCTGCATTTGAGTAGTGCCCTGCTGAACCATGGCCAGGGCTCCCAGAGACTATGCTAATGTAAGCACTAAGAATAACAGAGCAGAGATGAACCCAATCCTGTATCTCAGCTTCCACCCACCCCACCCTTGCCAAAGAAAAAAAGCTGCTTCCCTCCCTCCCTTATTATACCCTCTCTCCACCTGGTAGTGTGATCACTTCCACCTGAATCTCTCTAATTCCCACACCTCTGGCCAATTCCCTATGCAGGGATAGATTCAGTATTGAGTAAGTTGAAATAAGTGCAGTAAAAATCCGCTTTTTGCAAGTGGCATCAGTATTTGACTTCAGGTCATGGTTATCCCTTGTCTTGGTTAAGTTACATGAGATAAGCACAAGACAATAACAAGCAATGGGGAGAACGGATCTGTAACTCTTTTCCTGTGTCTTTTCCTGCATTTGTGCTTTTGTTAATTGTCCCCTGCCACTCCTAAGGCAAAAAGTAACAGAACAAACCTACAAAGCCCTTTGCCAGTCCTCACTGTACACACCCCACAGATGTGTGAGGTGGTGGGTGCTTCTTGTCCCTGTCCTGTGAGCGTGTCCTTGCTGCTGGTGCTGTGGGCCACAGGCTGTGCACAGTCACTGGGAGAGGCTCAGACAAGCATGGAACCTTTGGAGGAAAAAATAAAATCAGTTTTAAGACCATGAGATGGCACTTTTTACTTCCATTGGCTCTCAGTTCACAGTCACCCAGGAGGGAGACAAGCCTCCCGTGCGACACATCACACTGCAGTGAGGTCTCCCAGAGCACAACCTTCTCTTGGCTGCTGAGCCTCACATTCCCAGCTAGGTCATGGTCATTCTCCAACTATTTCAGCTGAGCTTGTACCCTCAGTAAATCTTCAGTTGTGGTGCAGAGTTTCTGGTAAGGCTGAGCAGTGCAGGGGAATTAAGCAACACGAAAATGCCTGAGGGAACACACTGTGAAGAAAGCGTTGGCCCCACCTATACACTACATTTTTCTGCTCAAGTTTGTACTGCCACTGTTTGACTCAAGCAGGTTTTGGAGGGTGATCACCACAGCTGGGGAGGAACTTGTATGTCATAATAATTTTGGGTTGAACTAATAGTTTAGTCATTTGATTAGGAACATTAAATCTCCTCTTTTAGAAGGAAAATATCTTTATCTGTCTCATCCATCTAAATCTGGGGAATAGTTCGCTCCCCTTCCCCCTCCAAAGATCCGTTTAGACCCATAAAAAATGTGAGTGGAACAAAAATTCACCCACTCTCATGTCTTAAACTGAAACCCAAACTTTGCATCCACTGTAGCAGCATATGAGATGCTCACTAACTGTCCCTGCAGGCCCCTTCCACTTTTTGTCAAGTTATTTCTGGAAATTAAGGGAAGCAGAACTGAAGGTGAACATCTACCAATTGAGATAAACCCTCAGTTACTTTGGTTCCCCAAAACGAGACCTAAAACCTGCAGGTCCCCCATTCCTGCAATCAGGATGGCACTGGATTATCTGCTTATGTGGGCTGATATCTGAAACTTCCCATGATTCCAAAGGGAGTTCTTTGGGCAGACACACATTGTATGCGCCCCACAGGAAGATCATCTTGTCAGGATACATTTTCCCTGTCTCAGTTTCAACCCATTATTCTAATTAAAACCTCTTTTATTATGTAAATCATCTTCTCTCTTTGTCAGTGCTTCAACTTTCAGTTATTCAGGGCTTATTTCAGAAATAGCTGTTTCCATGTGCCCTTGCAAATCTTCCTCTTGAGAAACCTTTACCTGTTTCCAGCTCTAAACTCAGCTCTTCTGTATCTTTCTGGTAATGAGGGACATTTTCTTCCTTGTGTCTTCCTCTTTGCCAATTAAACACTCCTGGCCTTCCCCCTCTGACTCACAGGAACTGGGGACAGGATCCCTCTTCTCTATGTGGTTCATTATCCGCATTCTCCTCTGGAATAAGAGGAATGTCTGGGATAAACCTACTATGTCAGCTTTGAAAGAAATGACTTAGACAGTGACATGCTCTTACAGGCCAAGTGAGGAGGACACTTCCTTTAGTTCCTGTAATTGGGAGTTGCTCTCGCCGGCTGACACGGCAATTCCAGGGGACACGAGTTTTCAAACCAACGTTCAGGTGACTAAAATGTTGATTTTAGAGGTTGATTAGAGCCAGGACTGAGAAATCCTGCTCTGGATGATGATGAAGTCTGAAAACCTCCGTGATTCTGGAAATGTTGGCGTCTCCTGGAGCCCACTCATTCCCTGCACACTGAAACAGGAAGTGTTACTAATGGTGATGCAGCTCAGCCACAGCATCATCAACACGCCAGGAAGAGAGAAATCCAGTGAGATCAGTTGGTTGATTTCTCCTCCTTCCCAGAGAAATAGGTGCCCTCCACCACGTATTTTGAAGATTAACATCAGATGTAGGAGGAATTGGGGCCATATTTTCTCTGTGGAAACTATTCCAGAGTCAGAAGTCATCCCAGTGTGCATGGTGTGGGTCATGGAAAGCACTTCAGAGCCCTATAACCACATCAAGAAGACCCAGGATGTCTATGCTGCATCTGGCAGCATCAATTAAAACCCCTTCCTCCCAAGCCCTACTAAATCCATGCCTGTGCCTAATGGAGCAGACATGTAAGGAGCACCTTGCACTGCAGGAGGATTCTCTCTAGCATGTGCAAGCTGGTGTTAAACACCCAGGACACTGCCTGATCATCAGCATATTGGGCATTTTTAATGTACCTGGAATTTTTTTGAATTTGGAAAATCTACCACAACAGCTTGTTGAAAAACACTGTATAAAAATCCTATTTATGGGATTCTGAAAACTTGAAGCATCAGAACCTGAGTCTGCTGGCTCTATCCCTTAAAGCCATGGGGTTGGCAGGATCCCTTGTGTTTTGTAGCACAGCAGCACTTACTGGGCACACACACCTTGTGGATTTTTGAGTACTGGGGGCTCCAGCAAAGATGCAGGACTGAGGAATGTGCCAGTGTCATACAGATGCCTCAGAAGAGTGGCAGAATTAGCTGGCATTTAGCAAAAATAAATATAATTCTGCATAATTAAAATGATCAGAGACAGCAGAGCAAGACAGTGGCATCAGAGGGAGAGGGGCTGTCCTGGGGCCCGTCAGTTCTGGGGTGCCCCAGGGGGACCAGCAGCAGCCCTAAACATGGCTTGGGGGCCCTCTTGTGGGCCCTGCTCTGCCGTGGACCCCACTAAAAACAGCTCTGAGAAGTGATTAATGTGAATGCTTAATTAGCACGAGGGCTATTCACACTCCAGCTGCCACTGCAGCTGTGGCAGAGGGCACAACAAGTGCACACGAACAGGCCGTGTGGCTCCAAGTTCTCCAGTCAGAATGTGTGTTTTTCTTAACTAATTCAGAAATTACTGGAGTCTGAAAGGCACAACCGTTCAGTTTTCATGGCTGACAAGAGCAGTTGCATCTCAGGTATGGCAATGCTGTAAATACTGAGATCATGTCTTTGGTTTCCCACAGGTTCATCAGTCCATTCTCACCTCCCAGTGCAGGGCAGCCCAGCTCAGCTCTCTTGCTGTCTCCATCCCACACACATTTGCAGTCACTGCTAATTACAGCTGTCACCCACAGACAGGAGGTGAGCACATCAACACCCTCCATTTCTTTGGCTTTTGTGCCCATGTGGTTATTGGGAACTGGTGGTTATATACAATTGTTCAACCTGATCATCTCATATTAAGCACTTAGTGTGGACACAAATTAATGTGACTAATAACTGTGAGAGGACAGATTTTTACCACCTGCAAGCCCCAAAGAAGAGCATGGGAACCATGTGCTGTTTCTAAACATGCTCAGTGGGAAATAACTATGCAAACTACAAACTAAAAAACTCCCCAAGGGCTCAAGATTCTGCAAGATCCTGCAAAATATGTCTGCCAAGGTGAGCAGAACCTCCATAAAAGAACCCAAGTAAAGATAATTTGTTGCAAGGCCGTTCTCCTCCTCAGTGCAGATGTTTACAAGCGGGAACAGAAAGGTGCTAGTCCTGGCAAAGGTATTTTTAAAGGACAAACACTTCCTGACAAGCCACCTCTCTTCCCTTGGGGTTAGTTGGAGCCCTCCAGCATGAGAGTCTGTCCCTTCAGAGCAAGTGTGTCCCCTCCAGGCATCCCACCCTGTCTGCCTGAACAGACCCACCTTCATCTCCAAAGGTAATTCCCTGTGCTGAGGTGGAATGAAAATGAAGGAAGTAAACTGGCAAACAGAGCCCTGGCTGAGTCTGAATAAATGTGTGCAACAATGGGTTGGTATCACTGCCAAGCTCCACTTCCCCATCTGTGGGAAACAAATTTCTGCCCACTGCAGGAACTGAGGGATGGTATAGCTGGAAATTCTGAGAGGCTGGTAATAACTCCCTCTGGAGAAATGGGATAATTTTGTTTGCTTCCCAGACAAGATTAAGGGATTTTAAAAATGTAACCAAAAATCCCACCAGCACCACCCTATCCCACAAGTATAAGGCATTTACATTGTTAACCACAGCACTATACTGATGCATGTTTTCAGTCTGAATTCTGGCATTTCTGGTTTTTATTAAGAAGTCTCCTGTAATTTGTAATCTTGTTGGAGCAGGAAGGGGCAGGAAGGCAGAGGTGTATAATATGTTCAGGTTACCCAGGGCAGCTGATCAATCCTTCTGGATAGGCACTTGATGTAAATCAAGGTGGAATTTAAGCAATGGATTAGGCCTCTACTCAGGCTGATAATTACGAGAAATGGATCCCTCCCAGGGAAAACAGAAATTTCATGAATGCTTTCCAGCTATATCATGATCCTGGTGTCCCTCCAAGCATAAATTTGGCCTGGAACACAAAGGCATGAAGACAATCAACGATGTTTTGCCGGTCAGCCCCTTTCTACATTTATTCTAAATAGTTTTAATAATAAATTGTTACACTGTCTCAGCTTGTCTTGCCTATTTAGCTGTGCTTGTTTTACATGTGGATTGTCTCTTGCCATGTTTAGCATGGAGTGTAATGAAGCCTCGAGTGGAACCTACAGAGGTTGCTACCAAGTGTTTAGAGATACACCTTTGATATTGAAATTGGTATGGAATTAAACACACTGCTTTAAACATCCTTTGTGGTTTCCTTGTCCACCAGAGACATTAAATTCTGATTATTTCCAGTTTAAATTCTGATTTTTTTCAAGCATTTCTTTCAAATCCTTTGGCAAGTTTCTCTGGTTGTACCCTACAAACTCTGTGAAACTAAAACTACATTTGTCCTGAATGATGCTAACCAAAGAAACAAGAATTACTAGTCCTCTAGATGGTGCTACTATTTCAAATAAAGCAGCTGGATGTTTGAAGATTTTGTTCAAATATATTGCTGTAGTACCCCGTGAGAAAGGAACAGGGTGAGAAACCCTGACCCCAGTAAGAGAAATGATGGCACACAACCCAAAACTTCATCTCACAGTTGTAGCAGCAAAGGGCAGCCTGTGTGTAAATACATTGATTGCTTCTCTTTAAGAGTAATGACTGTTTCAGTATCTGAAAATGCAGAAAAATTACAGGCTGTATTGATGAAAATTGTGTTTCAAAGGTTAGCTCCATTTTCCATGTCTTTCATTTCCAGTTTTCCCAACGATTTCCAAGGGGCCCCTCCAGTGTGTCATAGTCCAACTGCAGTGACTCAGGTGAGTGTTCCCGGAGCACGGTGGGTGTGTCACAGCCCAGCACCACGGCCTTGCCCTGGCACAGGCTGGGTGTGCTCTGGCCTGGTTTCACAGCAGCACTTCAGCACAACTGTTCTTCAGATGCAGCCACAGGAACGACTGAAACCCACAGTCAAACACCCTGCTGACTTAAGGATACTTGTATGTGCACACTGACATGGGCAGTAAAGGCTGTGAACTCTAAGTGCTTTAGTGATGCAAGGAAAGAAAGCAAAAACAATTTACCTTACGCTCTCCTCTCTTTCCAGAGCTCCCATCTGTAGTTTTAGAACATCTGCCTATTTTCTCTCTCAGATAGTTTTCCTGATTCTCTTTGTAAATCCAGCCAGATGGATTTGCAGCACCAGATTTCTTTCCCCCTGTGGTTGCTGTCAAAGTCAAGAACAAAAACTTTCTGATTTCAAGATTATTATTGTTGTACATTATTATACATCTGACCTTTGAAACATATATTCTGTATCACCACTATCTCTTACTTTGTGCAAAGTTCATCTGTTATCTAAATAAATGTCAAATTTGGGATCTTGTTAAGCCTTCAGCCTCAGTAACAATAACTGTGAATTTCTGGAGTTTACTCAGACAGTGTAAGAGAAACATTTATTTCATCGGTTTTGACTATTCAACCTTTAAAATTTCACAGAGTGTATTTGTTCTTGTGTTATGAGAAAAGAATAACATCTCTAAATCATTTATTATTTTGTATTCTTTTCCTGTCCCATTTATTTATCTGCTTTCCAAGAAACTTTTCTCACAGGAACATATCTATGGTGATTTTCACTGCTCTTTTATGAGTCCATCTCCAGTGTCATAATAGTTTGGTTGGTTGGGTTTTGAGGCAGCAAAGCCACAAAATCAGGGTGTATGGAAGCTCATAAAAATACTTCTTAAAAGAAAGAGACTCTAAAAGCAGACAGAAGGTTATGCTAAAAATAACCATGAAGACATGAGCTTAAACAACAAGTATTTTATTTAGCATACTTAGTGAATCCTTGCACACACTAACTTCCTAAGTCCTCTGGCCTTTTTCCAGCAGGGCCAACACAGACAACTAGAATTAAACTTCTTCCTAAAAATAAAGCAAGATTAGACTGACTTTGGAAGTGACTCCTTCAACACCTCAGAATCTTCTGGCTCATAATAAGGTTCCAAAACAGGTTTTAATTTGACTTCCTCTGGTAGCTTGTGAGTATCTTCTCTCCTGCTTCCATCTCTTAAAAGCGGAACCAATGTTTTCCAGTGTTTCCCTGAAACTACAAAGGAAAGGAATGGTTAATTTTTCCCCCTCCACAGAATCAGAAAATATACAAGTGGTTTAAATAGGAAGCTGATGAAAGAAGAAGAAAGAAGCAGGAAGAAAGGGCTTTGTGGTTTTCTTGCCCATACTGTTGCATGAGTTTTCCATATTTCAGCTGGCAAGTACAGCAGAGACTGATTGCACAGTTGAATACTTCCGTGCTGGGGGCTGAGCTCCCAAACTGTAGGGCTTGGGGCCTCCAAAAGCCTCCTCCTGGCTATCTGGTTGCCACCATACACCGCTCCATCTCCTCAGGATTTACACCTTATCTGTCTTGTAAAATCTTCATTCAGAATGACAGATCTATGGGGGTTTTATTCCCAAGAGTCAAACTGCTGTGATTGATGAGCCCACTTCATCCTTCGCATTTTGTGCTGATGGGAAATGACATAAACTTAGTTATTGAATTATCAGTAAGTGCATAACACTGAGTGCCCTCTAACAATTAATCCATGCTGCTACTATCCCCAGTGTGTAGCCCATACTAGGATTTAGGTCACTGAAGCCCTCACCTCTGCCAGGTTTAATAGAGAAACTGAGATTCCGTCTGAGGTCCCCAGAGTACCCGGGGTCTTCGTTGATTATGCCCAGGTTCGTATTCCATGTGGACCAGTTCACTTCATCAACCCTGGGGAGAGAACAACAAACCCAATATCTATTCTAAGCATCACCAGACAACTCCAGGATGAGCTTTTATCACAAACTGCCACCTCTCAAGCCTCAGATCTGACCTAAAAATCAGATTAAACTGACTACTGTAGACAGTATTAGTGAGCTACTTTTCAGAGTGCTCCAGGGGGAAAGCTCTGCTTCCTACCACCAGATGCCTTAATGTTGTTTGTCTACAAAAGATTGTTCGTTTGACACACAAACAGGTTACCTAAAGCACCATCTGTAATCATCTTGGCCATCAGGTGTGATCCCCACCAAGACTTGCTTCCCGGACCGGAATGAGCTCTTCAAACAGTTCAAGTAGCTGTTTTCGATATCCAAGATTGTGATGGCTCTCTGCCAGGTAAGAGAAAGCAGAGCACTGAGAGGCTGCTGGTCAAAGTCATACAAATCCTGAATACTGCCTTTATTTTATAAACCTTCAGTATTTATCATTGTCATCATCTTAGAGCAGTCACTGTAACCGCCTCTGAAATATCACCCTCTGTTAATGTCATTAAAAATGCTCAATTACTGCCCTGCGATTAGAACTATGAAGTTCCCTTTCTTACCTCAAACAAAAACTGATGTGCCTTTGAGAGTCTGGTAAAGATTGCTTTTCCCCTTGCATAATCCCTGGCTCCATAGTCTGATCAGGATTTTCCATCATCAAAAGCCCAAATAATTTTGTCTAATTACAAAAGTACTTCTTTTCTTAAATTCTGAACATCTGTGGAACACTGGGAACATCTGCTCAGGCAAAACATCAAATACACACGGAAAAGGAACTAATATACTTTTTTCAGGAGCTGTTCAGGAGAATCAGAAAGAAGCAGTGACCTGTTATTTAGAAAGATGTCGGTTCCTAAAGATTCTCTCTGAAATTTCTGATGATTCCCCACACCCCCTTTCTTGGATAGCAGCCTCCCAGAACCAACACACCTGGAGTTTCCAGATGCTCTTGCTCTCCTGTGCAATTTTGTTCACGGTTTCCCCCATCAGCGCAATGAGCATGTTGAGCAGGAGGATGTACGTGAGGATGACATAGAGAACCAAGAGGATGACAAACACAGACTTGAACCTGTAGTTCTCTGTGAACTCCAGGTCCCCCATCCCAATAGTGAACTTGAAAAGCTCCAGGCAGGTGTAATACAGGCTGTTGTAGGATGTGCGGCCTCGTCTCACGTGGCAGCAGCGGGAAGAGTCAGAGGTATTTGTCTCTTGCCCCTCATTGTCATCCTCAATTAAAGTCACCACAGCTGTTGCAAAAGAAGAATCACATAGGCAGGATGAAAATACAATTTGAGATCATAATTCCTTTGCAAGCAATGAAACGAGTATAAAGGTAAAGCATGTTATCCTCACGGTACATTGACTCCAGGGAAACTGCCCTATAAATATTCCCTATAACTGACACCTCTCAGAAGGTGTTGCCTCAGCTTTCTCTACACAGAACAGGATGACTGAATGTTTTTCCATCAGCTTTGGAAAGCAGTTTGAGACCCAGGGATGAAAAGCTGTATGAAACTACTACAGATAATTGTTATTCTGAAGAGATATTTTTTGTAAGTAGGCTAATTTTTTAGTTTTTAGTTGGAAACAAAAAGTCTAAGCAACTTGAAAAATAACATTTTCCGAGACTCTCTAAAGTAACAAAAAGTAACTCCAATTAGAAAATTACCTGTAGAAAATCCCAAGAGGAACACTAGATAGACAAACATGAAGCGACACAGATCTCTAAGGATCATCTGCAACATGAAAACAGAGTATTTTTATATTGCTAAAACTTGAATATAAACTGCACCAAAAATGGGTACCTGCTTCAGCTCAAGAAGGCATTTGCATGAACTGGCTGTTCATGCATTAAACTGTTGTTTATCCTGCTGAGATGATAAACTTTAATACAGAAAACATTTTTCTCTGTTATTCATGCAACAGTTTACACACATATGCAACACATATGCCTGTCAAATAGTTTCCTCTTTGCGAGTACAAACCACATTAAGACAGTTGAAGCTTTCTTCCCCTCTTGGACTGGCTGTCTACACCATACAGAGAGGTTTATTAGCCAGCTAGTTAATTAGCCAGCCTCTTAGCTAATTGCTCTGTTTGGTAACATTTGAACTATACCTAAAGAAATTTCCAGCTGGTGGAAAGCTGGGCCATTTCACACCAGAGCAGTCTACACTGTTCTCAGTCTCCTTTCATCCACGCTTGTCCAATCATAGTTATTTTGAAGCATGGCAGGCAATAAAAATCATCATCATCATATCAAGACTGCTTTAAAATGTATGGATGAGGAGCAGGGGGTTTTTCTACATCACTTAAATTTTATCACTTCACTCAGAAGACAACAGCAAAGTTTAGCAGAGTGTTATGAGCTTTCCCAGTGGCATCATGGAGGCAGATATGGCAAGGTGTCTTCTGGAATGCTGTTGGCAGCAGTGTCCCACTCTGGGCACACCTGCTCCCTGCACTGACCTTGGCAATCATGACAGAGTAAATGCCCATCTGCTGGAAGCCACGGGTGTAGTAGAGCATGTTGGCCCAGCCCAGTGCCAAGGAGAACACCATGGAAGCCACGTAGAGTTCCTGGCCACAGAAGTACAGCACCACAGAGCTCAGGAGGAGTAAGGAGTGAACAAAGCTGAAAGACAAGCATGGTCTGAATGCAGAAGGCTGAGCTGGTCACAGGTGGTGGGAACAGAGGAGCCCCATGGGGTGTACAGCAGAATGAGGGATTCCCCTTGTTTAGCGCGCTCCAGTTGGGAAGAGAAAGGACCCAAACATTCAGAGGCAAAGCTCCCTTTAGCAGTGGGAGGATTTCTGCACACCCAGTGTATAAGTCCAGCTTGGAGATCTATTCCTAACTCTGCTGCATGACACAGTCACTGAACATCTAGACACTTAATTTGCCTTACCTCCAAAGGAGGTCCCTGCCCCAGACCCATCTGTTCAGTGATATCCACTGGCTACTCTGGTGTAAAGACCCAGGAAATTATAGCAAAGCATCTACCTATTACAGGTGGCTTCAGCCAGAACTACAGATCTCCCACACTCATCTGTTTCTGGCTGAGATGCAACCAAAGATATTGGAGCTTACAAAAGAACCTCACTGTAGCCATCAATGATCAGCGTCTTGAGTGACGGGCGCCTCTGCACGAAATATTGTATCTGGAAAGAAAAGGGAACCAAGACCAGGTTTGCATCAAGGAGGAATTAACTATCACCTGTGAATGCATCAACTGAGCCCTGAGCCCTGTACCAGGGAGCTGGTACCTATTAAAATCACAAGAGCAGCTGGAAAACAGCACTGGCACAATATCTCAGGAGGACTCTTCCAGAAACACTTGAATTCTCTCACATCTGGTGTCTCTTTTGAAGACAACAACCCATTCAGTCACTGTTTGAGGACCTGGGATTCACTGCACCCTTTCCACTGGCTGCCAAGGGGAAGCTGGGGGACTTCAGGCTAAGCCAGGAAACCTTTAGTGGAGGGCTGGCTGTTTGCAATACCCCACCCTTAAGTTTTGGCAAAGCTAATTGCCAAGATGCTCGTTGCCTTCTAAGGAGAACCTTTTTTTATAAATAGATAAAATTGTATCTTAGCTCATTAGTAACCTGAGAACTCCTAATCAGGCCTAGGAAAAGATTTGTCGCTCTTGACTAAAACATGGATCATTTTAGCAGCCAATGCTAATGAATAGGAAAAGTTTGTTTGACTCTCCCCTACATCTACCCAAACAGCAAAAGGGAAATTTTCAAATATCTTACCCCTCTGAAAAAAAAATAGAGGCCTCCCAGAACACTCAGGATCTCTCCAGTCACTCGAAAATACTCCCCAGTGGTGTAACCAAAGGTGAAGGGAGGCTGTATAAGACAGGAAGATGTTCAGCAGAACTGGAGACAGGAAAAACCTGGCCTTGCCAGCAGCCTAAAGCAACTACATTGTGGGGGGCAACAGGTTAAGTTTCTGAATGTGCTGCAGCAAGACTGGGAATCAAGCAGGGTCAAAATCTCCCTCCTCCCTTCAGGAAAGAGGACACTTCTGATGTTAGGAGCACACATTCAAATGGGAGGCAGATCTGAGATGTCATGCACTGGCTGGCTCCCCTGACACATGCCACAGTGACATACCTTTTGGTCCTTCTGCACAGGTCTGTAGTAAGCAGCTGCAGTGAGGATGCTGATGTGCAAGGTATAGACAAAGAAGTTGAAGTAAAACAAGTGTTTGACAAACCGGTCCCACTTGTCTTGCAGGAGCCTGTTAAGGGGCTCCACCAGCAGCATCTCGTGCCGGTTCTGAGCAGAAGGAGAAAGAGGAGAGTCTTGCTGGGACCAGTATGTATCAGATTTTGAAAGAAAAACAAATTATATTCATCTTCAGCAAATGTTCTCTCTCATTCCCTTAAACTCAGGAGGGGCGATTGCTCTTTTATGGAAAGGAGGCAAAAGGTGCACTGTGGGGAACATGAAGCTCTTCCCCAGCACTCCCCCAGCCTGGGAATAAAATGCAAAGGAGGTGCAATACTCACTGGTGTCTCACTGCTGTAGGCAAGAATCTCCAGCACTGAATTTTTCTCACATGTGTCTATACAGGACAGGTCATAAAGAGAGGAGTGGACAGGTCCATATGCCCATTCAGTGAACTTCCTGGACAGGTGTCTGCACTCGGGATCTTTGATCTCTCGTCTGAGGATGTAAGCGAAAATCTAATTGCAAAAGAACAATACAACCAACATATCAGTGCTAATGGACTTCTTGTCCCTCAGCATCTCCACATGAAAGGATGGGTAATTTCTCCCTAGTTTAACTGAGCTGAGGCCAAACCACTGGAGCACTGCATTCTCAAGGAAACACAGTTAATTTTCTTACTGGATGCTGGGAGATGAGAAATATAAATACCTCTTACAGCTTGGCATTATCTGCTTCAAAACTGCAAGAGAAAAGCAGAAGTGTGTGTTACACCTCTCTGAGCACACAGTCACTTTGAATGTGGACTGCCAGAAAATGAGTTATAACAGCAGTCAAAAGTACAAGGGCTCCAGTGGTTTCTTCTTGAGCTGCCTTGCATACCAGGGGTGTATGAATAACATCAGCTGGGCACATACACACACATTTCATGGCCTTTAAGGGCTCTGCAGGTTTGCATGTTAAACTGCAGCCTCAGTTTCTATTAACTAAAAGGCTCCAACAATAAAGTTACAAACCCCATCTTGCATAAATGTTTTACACGTGCTCTCTATAACTTGATACAATAACGGGACAGTTAAACACCTTGTCTCACCCACCCCTATCTTTCCTGTTTTGGCTGCCAGGGTTAATGGAGTCAGCCCTTTCTTGTTGGTGAGCTCTTCCAGCTTCAGGATTGGATTAATTTTGGCACCAAGGATCAATATGTTATTGTACATCTTGGTTACAAACTTGGTGTTATCCTTAGTGTTATCTGCGATCTCCACCAGGGTGTGCAGGACCATGTTGCCCATGGAGTCCTCAGCAGCAATGTCAGCTGCCTGGTAGGGATTCTCCAGGAGGAATTTCACAATGCAAAGCTGGTTGGTGCAGGCAGCCAGGGACAAGGGCAGCTCCCCTACAGGAAGCAAAGGGAAGGAGTGGTCAGAAAATATGAAGTTCATGTTGTTTTCACCTTGCACTAAGAAAAGGTGGATTCCTCTGACACAGCACCAATTCTTGTGATAGCTGTTAGAATCAGATTTTCTTTGGTTTTAACTGCATGACAGAAACACAGCTGCTTAAAAAAAGCACTGACAGGACAGGAGCAGAAGGTTACAACCTTTCAAAGGATACAGTGCTCAGAGAACACCAAGCTCACACTGAACGCCATCAACTACCAACTGTGTTTGTTTATAAGCTCAGTTTATAAGCTCAGGAGTAAATATTTGTCCTGATGGTGGAACAACCCATCTGGCATCTGAGCCTCCAGTCCCACATAAACAGGATTATTTAACAGCTTGCACTTGGGGTGATGCTGGGATAACTCAATCAATAAAGCCCATACTGAGCTCACTCCTACCAAAATAAAAGCCAGATTTCCCTTTGATTTTCCTGAAGAACTCCCCACAGGCTCGTGCATGAACATCTGCTCCATTCTGGACCAAGAGCTTCACCAGGTACATGTTCCTTCTCTCGATGGCGATGTGAAGAGCAGTCTGGCCTACAGAGACAGCCATCAGACAGAAATCTTCAGCACTTAGTACACACTGAGAGCTTTCAGCACTGCAATTCACTCAGCTCCATGTCAGATGGTGGAACTGAGAGCTTTGCAGACTAAAAAGCTCTAGAACTGAACAGAAAAAAAACCCCACAAACAGCAAATGGACATTCCTTGAACTTGCTATTAATCACTGTATATCAAAAATGGCAGAATATTGCACAGAACACACTCCCAGCACAAATGCACAGATTGTTAATCACACACTGGAACTTTGGGGTGCTGCATCCTCAAGCATAAGGCTTCTTGAAGAAGACTCAGTCTAGGCACCCTGAGGTTCCCCTGTAGCAGCCATTTCTCTTACCCTTGTAGTAGTTGTCAGTATATTCTGCATTAACAAACTCTTTCAGAGTTCCAGTTTTCCTGGCAATATCCAGCAGCAAGGGAATGGTATCATTTTTCCCATCGTGCAGATTCAGCATGGCTTTCAGTAAACAGGTTTTCCCAGTTTCGGGCTCTATAACACAAAAGATTGAAGATGTATTGAAGTTATTACAGACCCCCATCTATACCCAGGCAAGCAGGAATTAATGAGGTGCTTTTCAAAAGACAAGGAAACTCATTTAGGCTTTTCACAAAAAATTTCAGCTCCTGTAACCTTACAATCAATGGGTTGCCCAATCAATAGGGCAGTAGTGGCTATTAAAGGACCTCCTGCAGACATATAACATAATTATCCTTTTTTTGTTTTCATCTCAGGAGCACTACTGGAGGAAGAAGAGGGCAACTGAAGGTATGTGCCACTAAAGGGTACCTTTGAACTCCTCATCTGTGAGATGCTTGAAGGTTCTATTAAGGTAGAGTAGCAGGTCACTCAGGTCCTTTGTGTTGCCTCGGGCTACAGCATCAAAGATCCTTCTGCGATCGTAAAACTTGAAAGCTTTTTCTGAGCAGCCTGTGATGGAATCTGCAGACAGGAGCCTAACAAGGGTAAATTTCAGTTACTAAAAGTCAGATACTAAAAGCTAGAGATTTAACAGACTTTTTATAAAACTAACAGAATACTATTTTTCATTTGCTTGTGTGAAGTAGTAAGTACAGGTTAGAATAGACGGATCTGCAAAGACTAGAAGATCAACAAAGCCTGCAAGCAACTGTTCTGATAAAGTTGTGTATCACTTGCTGCAAAACTGACAACAGGACTCAGAAGAGGCACTCAAGTATGGCAGTGAAACTGCAGGCCTGGAGCCAGGCAATCCCTTGTTCTCTTCTGAGTGATGTCCATTCACTGAACAGTCAATTAAGGCCTACTGCTAATTTTGGGCAAAATATCCATGGGTTCTCTGAATTTTCAGAGATGCCAAAACAGCCATTGTCCCTTTCAGTTGCAACACTCCTTATTTTGGCAGAGAAAATAGTGAAACTGAAAAAAACAGTCATGCTCATGTGGAGAGAACAAACGGTGCTCTAAGAGCCATGGTCTGCAGTTGTCAAACTATTCCTTACAACCACATCTTGTGAAGGGGCAAACTTACTTGTGAAGTTTCCCCCTCTCCAAATTGACATTAAATTTGATGACAGAAGGTGCCATCAGGTGATCCATCTGGTAAAAGGAGTCCATGGGAGCCATGTCCTTGTCACTATCCCCCATCACAAACCGCCCACGCCTTGCAAAGATGTTGCTTTTGGGTGGCTGTGCCCTGGTGCTGGGTGGGCCCTGGGAGTTGTCAGATGTTTCCAGGACAGACTCCTCCCCTTCCGTGTGTTCATCTGCCACTTCAGATTCCTCCATGTCAAAACTGCCAAATTTCTTCATCTTCCCAAGAATTGAAGACATGATGAGCAGGCAGTCTGTGAGGAAGGACACAAACACCTCAAGTCAGCATTTTACAGGGCCACGAGTCCCCTTTTGCCTCGGACCACTCTCCATGAACAGCAGGGAGTGGATTGGTTGCTCTCATCCCAGAAATGAGGCAGATGGACACAGATTCACTGTGAACAGAGTTGGAACAGTTTAGTAGGTCATTACCTCCATGTTGTTCCTGTCCCCACTGCCCTTACCCATTCCAGAATGGACAAAGCAAGCCAGAGCATCCCAGAGCTTGCCAGCCATCCCACTGCAGAGCTGACTCCTACTTAAAACTAGGGCTTCATCCTCCTCCAGTCATTGGTAAAGCCCAAACAATCTCAAGCCTCAACAATCTCTACTTTTCTTCTCTACTTTCTAACTGGTTTGTGCCACAATTTATTCTTGTGATCATATCAGGCATGTGAAAACAGCCTGTTTGTGCCATCACGGTAGGTCTGGGATGCTGAGCACAGAGGGCTTCCTGCACACAGGAAAACTATCACTTAATGGCTTTGCCAGAATTATAGCAGTGCTTGATGAAAATTGGAGCTTGTGATTCTCAAGAGAGGAGTGCCACCTCAAACATGAGACACAGAAACAGAAAGGGAAAGGTTACCCCAGATAAGAGGTGCCTGTAAGACCACACGTCCGATCCTGTCTGATTTACAACCACAAAGAACTTGACACAAGTTAACAAAGACAGAACCACAGAATGGTCTGGGTGGGAAGGGACCTTAAAGATCATCTCATTCCAACCCCTCTGCCATGGGCAGGGACACCTTCCACTATCCCAGGTTGCTCCAAGCCCTGTCCAACGTGGCCTTGAACACCTCCAGGGATGGGGCAGCCACAGCTTCTCTGGGGAACCTGTGCCAGGGCCTTCCCACCCTCACAGATAAGATACTCCACTGAAAGTAGAGCAGGATGCCTTTTTTTTTTTTGGTTTCTTATCAAACTGTTTTAATCAGACAAATGCTATCTTCATGCCACTGAATTCAAAATGTTCTAGAACTCCAGCAGTGGAGAGAGGAATACATCATACTCCAACTGCTATACTGCTGGCTTAGAAACATTCTCTGAAATCCTACATTGCTTGGAAATCCTACAGCTTTGAGCACAGGAATGTCACAAAATCTTTAAAAAGCCTTACATTATAAACCACATTACAGTGGTCAGTAGCCTGTGTAAATTCAGTGTGAAAACAACATCATAAACATGCTTCAAGGTTGTTTCTCTTTACAAGAATATTCTGAGGGTTGTCTGCAAACCCACATTGTACATTAAAGCTGGATTTTCAGTTCTATGGGAATACTTCATATTTACATCAAGGGTCACTTACCTTTTTCTGTGCAAGCAAGACAGGAAAGAAACTTTGGTCGGGCATTTGTATTTTCCATGTAAAGAAAACATCAATTCCAAACTTGCACATTTAGCGTTACTGGAAGCAAACCAGCATCAAATGGACAAAATACTAATAACTGCAATTTAACTCACTCACCTTTCAAGTTCTTTGTGTCTTTAGAATCACCCAGAAAGAATAACATAATAACTTATTAACTTAATTGTTCTATAAATAAGAAATCAAAATATTTCCATTTGGAATAGGATACTAAAATTACAGTAGAACAACTATTTCAGTAGAAAAGGAATAAAATCAGTTCTATAAGAAAATAGAAAAATATACAGTGGGAATACAGTCATGTATAATTTTAATTTTTTGTCTTATTTAAATTAATGTGGATTGAGCCAAAAACATCAGCGAGATGGCCATGGAAAATACAATTACTTATTTCCCACGGAATAAATGTAATGTTAAAATGTGCAGAAAAGGTTCAATCCTGTCTCCCTGGCAATTGCTCAAACCTACTCCAGTCATTATATGTGCTTTCCTTTCTAAACCCTGTTGAAAACATATTTGATAAGGAAGACAAAGCTGCATTTCCTCATGAGTATGAATTTGCAAGGGAATAAGCTTCACAATTCTGTGGAAGGATTCTTTAAAAAAATATTATCTATTCTACTAAACACATAAACTACTTGAACTCTCTGAAACCCTTATACATTGAAATTTGACACAATAAATAAGGAAATATTTCTGATAGAATGCCCTGCCACATCACAACTTATAACAAATAATAGAGTTTAAAAAGAACTAACAGCAAATATACATGCAGAACTTACAAATACTGACAAAAATCCCGTCTTCCAAAAAATAGTCCAGTCTCAGTAAGCACCCACTGATCTACAGGAATTTGGTGCCAGATATTCCTCCTCCAGGGTGCCTGGACTGAAAAGCCCTCAGAGTTTGCTTCTCCACTTTATTTGTCTGCAAAAGTGTGGTATGTGCTGATTTTTAGAATCAAGGGAAGTTCACTAGAAGAACAGAGAACAGAGCAATAAGATAATTAAGAACAATTCTGGAACCAGAAGCATCAGTGGCTTCTATTCCCAGAGGTTTAGCAGAGCTCTTTACAAGAATTGCAGTGAGTTGCTGTTGTTTTTTCCTCCCCTTTAATTGCATTTAGTAATGGATATTCTTCTCCAGATTTCCTCCTCGTAAATACACTCAACTTTGCAAAAAACCACCCAAACCACCAGATGACAATTGTTTCTGTGGGTCACAGTTTCATTTCAATTTACAAAACTTTGTAAAATGTGCCACAGTCATCTTTCTGGACATCTTTCTTGAGTGGCTAATTTAGAGATAATTATTTTAAAGACAAGCTGATTCAGAACAGAGCTGAGCAAGAACCAATGACAGAAAGTCCCAAAGCCTTTCCATTGTTCCACATCCCTACTAGGTTTTATTTCAATTATATAGGTAACAGTCAGCTTCTAAATATTAATGTAATTAGGAAAAATATCTAATCCAGGATGGATCTAACATCCTTAAAAATAAAGAACTGTGTCAAATATTGTTAAATATATAATTTACATACAATCTTTCTGACAAAAACTAGTCTAGAGAAAGAGTTTTTCCAGAGGCTGGGCTGACAGGCTGGGAGCAACCCCCAAGCCTCCTGAGGTTTTGAGTAGATTATGAAATTATTTAATGAAATTATCTGTGCTACGTTTTGCAAAAGGCAGTTGTCTTTCTAGTCTTGCCATCTATCTATCCATAGATGTATAAAAGAATTATACATTTGCCTATTTAATAGCAAACTAATTATGCTCCTTAGAACACCCTATGGCATTGTATCAAATGGAGTAACAAGCCTATTTATTAATGCATAAGTACAGATTACCAACGAGGCAGGTCCTCAGCTGCTGCTCCTGGAGCTTTGCTGAGCAAAGCCTCTCACTCAACATCACAGTTAACTCTTTCCCCATTTCCAAAGCAGGGACTCAGTAGGAAAACTCCATGGAGCAGTGGAGGATCTCCCTTATTCAGTCTCTGGCTTCTTGCTGCTGCCTTTTGCTAAATGTTCCTTCTCCCTCTTCTCCCATTCAGGCATCAGCTCCTTTCAGTCTCCCTGTGCTTCGATGGATGTACTTTGGGAGCTTTCTGCTGCTTCCTGATGCCTCCTTTAGCAGCTCCTTGGCTTGTGTTTCCTGGGAAGATGTTATCTCCTTCTCCATTGCTTTTTGCAATAGTTGCTGGACATATCATATTCCATCTCAGCAGGGATCTTGTTTTGAGGAGATGTGAATGCTTGTCAAAACAAGCCAGTGATAAGCAAGAAGGAATTTATTCCTTTTCCTTGGGCCTGCCTCCAACATGCTGCAAAGGCTTTGTGCAACTTCTGTGCTTCAGAGGGATTTTACCCACTAAGAGCCCTCCCCATCACTGCAAATGGAAAACCATCAACAGATGTGCCAGAGATCCTAAAGATGTATCCAGGGCTGGCCTGCAGCTCAGAGACAGCCTTGCCTTTGCTAATAGAACCTCAAACCAGGCCATGATTTACCAGCTCCTGGAAGCAAATGCCACTTGATCTCACGGGTAACAGGGCACTGGAACAGTATTATCAGCTCTTTCCAGTTATTCAATAAAAATGAAAGCAGATATTCTGATGCAAAAATAATTTATACTAATGTAAGAGAGAAAACAACATATAACAAGTTAAGGCTTTTCCTTAATCTAGCCTACACTTTCTCTGTAATTCCTTCATATGCCAACAGTTCCCTAAACACGACATGGAGCAGATGCATGGAGAGAGGGTGCAGGGAGCTGGAAATTCAGCATCTCTGTAGTTAAGATCTCAGAACTCAGCACAGCTTTTTCACTATAAAAATGTCAGTCCTGATGTTGCTAATGAGCAAGATAGGAATCCATGTCCATATTTCAGTGGAAACACTTGCTGCCTAGTAAAGGAACTGTATCTAGACAACATGAAACACCTTCCTTGCTTTCCCAGGTCATTTGAGCAAAAGAAGTGTACATGTATCTTGGTTTAGTCTGAAACTAGAAAATGTTTTCACATTAAATAAAGAGTAAGGGAAGAAATAAAGTCTAAGAGCATAATACAGGGGACAAATCCATGGAAATTTTAAGGGAATGCACATGAGCAATACCCAACATTAAAAACAGATTAGTCTAGCTAATTGATTAATGCTTAATTTGACACAATACAGGAAGGGCAGAACCAGAAACACCTTCAGATCAAACATAGTAACGTAGCTCCTCCAGTTTATCACAATTCTGACTGTTTCAGAGAGGCCCTGATCCAAAACTCAAACATAATTATGTATGCCAAATAAAGAAAAGAATTACTTCTCACCCTATAAATGCATTTTCCACTTGGCTATAACCCCTGCACTCCAGGCATCTCCAGTCATGGTACCAGCCTAGTCATGCCTTTGACCTTAGTCCACTGCACCCAAACAGAGTAGAAAAAAATAGAATAGAAACAACCCTCCATGTTTTATTTTCACTATTTTGTCGATGTTCAAGCCAAGGCATCATTCCATCTTTTACAGAGACAACATGCAATCCATGAAGACTGGGATTTGTTCTGTGCAAGAGCCACCAAACCCCCCAAACAAGGCTGACACCCTGGTCTGCTGCCTGTCTGTAAGTTGTGAGACAGCTTAAGGACAAGAAGTCTCTAATGAAAGCATCAGACCAAGTTACAGCTGCTCTTCTCTCCTAGTCCTTCCAAACGTATTCCTACCAGGAAAATGAGCCTTGTGTGAAGTATCATTTTATGCAGGAAGTTAATGGATCTCTCCCAGTCACTCAGACAAATGTAATGTGGTAATTACTGCTCATTTCACAAATGGGAATGACAGAGCACCGAAATGTGCAGACCCAGAAGTGGACATTAAATGCTGGGTTTTTTCCCTCTGTAATGAGTGAGATTGCATGTGGAATAAAGTGAAAAGAAACACTGTAGAGTCAGGAAGAAAACAGAAGCTTCCATCTCAGGCCATTCCAAATAACCACTTTATTTCCCATGGAACATCACCATGGCAGCCCCCATAGCAGCATCAACATCTTTCCCGTAAACCACAGGGAATGGAAAAATCCTTTCCACTTCCTGCTTCAGCACCTCATTCCTGGCCAGGGCACTCCCACTGCCCAGGATCCTCCTCACGCCCACGTCCGTCAGGCGCTGCACAGGTAACATGGAGCAGAGGTTTTGGACAATCCCACGGCACAGAGCTCTGGTGACGTGGCCCAGGGACAGCTCAGAGGCAGCAATGCTGGTCACTGATCCCAACTGCTCAGGAATGTGCCTCTCTCCAAATATGGTTGGGTGGACTGAGAGTTTGCTGTGGTTTTGGGCCAAGGCTGCTTGGATTATCCTTGTATAGATGGCAGACTCCTGGACCTGAAGTCCTGCGGATGGGAAATACCAGGTTACTAATCTCTTACAATGGACACTTATCCATCTGTTCAGCAAAATACTGGATATCTTTTTTCACGTCTTTTCATGTTTTTTCCAGGATTATGAACCATAGTTCTCCCACTCAATTGTATCCAGGATATGTGACACTAGAAACCTTCTCTGAAACTGCCTTTCCTGACAGTACGTTCCTCATTACCTGTCCTGTGCTAAGTTACACGAAACAACATCAGGCACTAATGGCAGAGAGCAGCTTCAGTGGCTGGATTCCATGTGAATGCGAAGCTCACCTCAAGTACTCACTGAAAGAACAACTTCAGAGCTCACTTTTGTATTGCAAAACCCAAGAGATTATTAAAAAACCTGTGAAGACCAAGCTTAAAGCACTTAGAAGATATTACACGAGTTTGAGTCTTAAAATCCATTAGAGTTCTGCAAAAGGCAACTGATCCAACCAAGGGACTCCTCTGGACTGCAGTCACACAAAATTAGAGGCTGTTCTCCTCAAATCTGCCAGCTTTTCCTTGTGAAAATCAACTTGAACAAAATAATTCTCTTCTGTCCTTGAAACCAAAGAAGACCTAGAGGCAATGTGAATGTGGAGTCCAAGCATGACTGTCCCAGCATGTTCATAAGCAGGAAATTCCAGAGATTTAGGAAGCCTGGCCCAAGAGTTACATCCTCGTTCCCTGTATGGCACGACAGAACAGCTCTAGGCTTGTTCCTTTGCCTCAGCTTCCTTTTACCTTGATGATCAACCTCAATTTTAAGCTTCAACTCTCCTTGACATGACTTACCCAGCTCCTCTGTCCACTGTGCCACCATGCCCACAAATGTTGCCAGCACGTTGCCTCCGTTGAGCGATGCTGCCACTGCCAAGTAGTCCCCGTTGAAGTAGGGAAAATAAGTAACAGCTGAGGAAGGATCTGGTGTCTCTGGAGGCTGGAAACCAGGGGGCATTGAGATGGTCAGCTGAGCAGAGGTACTGAAATTAAGAACTAGAACACAAAAGGAATTAAAAAAAGGAAAAAAAAAGTCAGTGTTTCACTAAGCCACCCTGAAGGAGGACAACGAGTAAACCAAATCAGATACTAAAATGATCATACCTGCATCAGTCCTCTCAGTCAGACAGGAATAAACAGAGCACTGCAAATCTCCCAGAGCAATTCCTACTTTTACTCCTTTGGGTATTCCATGCCATGCACGGGTTGTCCTGCCTGCAATGCTTCCAGGGTCTCCCACCTCTGGAAGCAAGTGAACAGGAAAGCCGGATTTTTTCAATCTGTAATCAGAACAACATTATTGGAGGAAAGCAGTATGGGAACTGTGGCATGACTACAAAGACCTCTTTGAAGTCACAGATGAAGCTGTCCATATATTTGTGGCTGCTGGGTTTATGGAGGCTTTCACCTATTTAGAAAGCTCTGTCTTGGACAGGGGCAGCATTCCAGTCCAATGGGCTGGGTAAACTAGAACAGTCTAGAAGAATAAATAGTTTTCCTTTATATGCAATCTGAGTACCTGAGATCATACAGTACGTGTTCAGCCAGTTTAACCTGCTGATGTCACATGGACAAGCAGTTCCAGGGTAAAGGGACAATCAAAAAATGGCAAAAAATGCAGCTAAGTGTCAAAGAACTTAAGATGTCATGCAATTAGTGGTTCAAAACCAAATCACAAAGAGTTAAATCCAACAAACTCCTTATGCAATCAGCTGCAAGATAACACTGCAGTGCTACAGCAACAGCTCCACATTAGTAAAAGTTCAGTTGGCAAAATGCAAGTTTCTGTCACTCTTTCATACCTTGATGAGAAGATCTTTCACCTTGGAGTCCTGGCCTAACCTAAGCCCTGAATATATAAGGCCTTAGCACTCAGTCCTGAAAGAGTAAATCATTAAAATAAGTAAATAAATAAACTGATTCCCTATAAGATTTCCTGTAGCTTAACAACTACATTATCACAAGTAAGTCTCAGTAGTTATGAAGGAGCTCAGTTGAAAGAACTAAGAGAGTGATAACTGCCTTTGCCACGACAGAGGGAACACTGTGGCTGCAACATGCACTTGTCCATTCCCGTCCATCCCATCCCACCATGGAAAAGGAGAGAACAGTTTGCCATATAAGCACTCACTGATGAGTCTCTCAGCTCTGCTCTTGGTAGGTATTTCTAAAAATACTGTACCAGATTTTACAAGATTTAAACAGATACACTTCACAAACCAGAGCAAACTCTCAATAGTCAGGAGTTCAGCAGTACAGATCACAACTGATTAGGAGTACCTTTTGACCCCTTTTTATCTGTAGCACATTGATACTCAGGGCCCAAAGAGGTGCAGTGCACGAGCCCCAGTGAATGACCTTAGCACTTACATGTCAGTATTCCAGCTTTTGCTTCTGGAATTAAAATATCCCCAGCTGGCAGCATTCTGGACAGACATGAGTGGCTTCTTCAGGTCACACAACATGGCAACCACGTAGTCCTGGATAGTGCCAGCTGCATCATAAGCCTTCAGAAAATCTGGACTTTTAAACAAGACATTTTAAAAACAAAACCAGTAAGGGTATTTTGCTGTAAGGCAGTGGGAGCAAGACAACTTCCATTGCTACAGAGAACTTGACACGTGTGGTCTCATCTAAAAATTAAACTGCCACCTCAGTGATCAACCTGCATTTTGTTGTTTTACAGTTTGTTTTTTTTAAATGGAATTTGTTTTCCAAGCTGCAGCAATACTTATCTCCTGATGGAAGATGGAGAGACAGCAGCTTTAAGGAATGAATTGTCTTGGTTCAAAAGCACAGCATTGCAGAAGTCACCAGGAAAGTAGTAAGTGTTTGCATGAAAAAAGTGGCACTTGAGCTTGAGAAAAATAGGTAAACTCCCACAGCTGGGCAGAGATCCACAAATGATATGAATGGCAATGTATCAAATGGTGAAACAATGTAGCTCTAAAGTAGGATCAGACCGTATTCCATATATTTGCTGGACACATACTGGAAGAAACCAAGATCTAATAAGTTTTTTCCCCTTTATTGAACCTGAGCTCAAAGCAGAGGAAGACTCTGGCTCTTTGAGAAAGATGAAACTGAAGAGCAAACCTTGCTGATGCCAAGTCATAAGTGAAAAATTATATCCTCTGCAAACATGCCACAACAAAGCAGAGCACTCATAACACCTCATGAGGATCTCAGCGTCCGAGGAAGGAAGGAACTGAAATTAATTTAGAGCCTTTTTGATTTAGCATCTGGCAGCAACCAGAACAAGCACTCTGTGACTGCTTTAGGCATGTTGGTATTTTCATAAACAGCACAAGGCAAAATGACAGTGTTCAAACTGCATCAGCAGAGCTCCTCTGACTGGTACAATGGACTACAATTATTCTGTGATACTTTAAAGCTTCTGTTACTCTATGGTCAGAAGCTCTTCTTTTTGTTAGAAATCTGTAGTAATTTTATGAGGTCAGAGACTCTTGTGTGCTCAGCTGCATATAGTTTATATTAAATACTGCCATTTTAAATATTGTTTGACAACTTAATTAAGATTATGATTACAGAGAAACGCAGCCCCTCAGCCTGCAGCAGCATTAACATGCTACAGGAATAGGAATTGCCACATAAATTCAAGATGAGAAACTGCCTGACACAGAAGCCCTTTTGAGAAGCAATGTACCTCTTCTTTAAATACCAGTAGACTGTGGCACATCCAAATCCTGTAGCCAAGGTCACATGTGACTGTGGCAGAGGAAGAGAAGAGAGGAAGGTGGGACTGCAGCGGCCGTCCTGCCAAGTCACCAGGTGACTGACGTGCTGTGGCTCAAAGGCAGGGCCTGTGCCACACTCTGTCCACTTGCAACCTGAAACACAAAGTATCCAAGAAATCCAGTGACTCCCTGCACTGCAGCCTGCCTGGCATCCCTCATTTCTGGACACGCTTGATAATTTGTTCAATATACTGGAAAAAGAGCAGAAACGGAGCCAGCAGAGATTGTAATCAAATTATTTGGTCATGGTTTTCAGCCCTAGATAATGTCATAATGCCAGTCATCCTTTGCTAAAACAGAGGATGCTATCCCAAGGCCTTCCTTTTCTCTAAGCACTCCTAGTGCCTAAAGGAGCAAGCCACTTGCACCTTGAGATGTTAAAGATACTTAAATAGCAGGTGAGCCACAAAAAAACCCCAACCACAGTTCTGCTATGGGAGGCAAGGAGCTGATATGGCAGCTCTCACATACAAACCTCAACTGGGATCTGCCACATCACAACCTGGAGAATGCTGTGGTAGCAATGAACTGCCTATGATGGAGACACCAAGTTTCATCACCTTTTAAGCCAGCATGAAACCTGGATCTATAAGTATTAAGCAATGGACTGCAAAGTACTAAAGAGTAACCCTCCCCTGTGCTGTGCAGCGAAGCTTCACCAAAGTAGATCAAAGTTTAATTCAGTTTTACCAGTCCAGCACGTTCCTTTTGAACACAGAACTCTGCAGCTTTGATGAAACATTCACATTCTTTCACCAGAGAGGCTGGGCTCAAGCACTGGCACGTGATGTTTGCCAGCACACTCCAGGGCTCAGCCCTGGCCTCTCCCTGGACAAAGGGCAGGGACAGGACAGGCCACTCACTGTCTCCAGCTGGCTCTGAAACTGAGGCAAACTCCTGGGTTTTGGCCAGGGAGCAGAGTTTCAAGCTGTGCTGTGCCTCTTGTCCTACAGGTCAGAGAAGAGACCCAGCTGCCTGACTCACTTAAATACGGCTAAAAAAGTCATTCTTGGGCTGGATAAATCACACTCACACAGCAAACAGCAGCCAAGAAAGCTGGGAAGTGCCATGTGAAACATGCAAAGCAAAACACATACTCTTGCTCGTTCCCTTAATTCCCTGTTCTATCAAGTCCGTTGGAACCGAATTTCCAATTGGTTTGCTTTTCTAGTCTTAAATGGATTCTAAGAAATATTAGTAACCATAAATCTAATCCCAAAGGATGCTACTAAAAATTTTATTTGTGTCCCAAAGGTCCTGGATTCACTTAGTCCACTCAAAACAAATGAGAGCAAACACCCTCTTTCACTTGATAGAAATGAAACTGAAGTGGCATGTGGCTTTAGGACATAAAATATTTACCAACATGACATAAGAACCTGTGTCTATGAACCCAGGAGGCTTTGTTATGTAGCTCTTGGGACACGTGGAAAGCAAAACAGCTCCTTCAGTCCATCAGCCTTTGGATTTCTTTCTTCCTAATAATTTTCAAATTTAACATAAAATTACAGCCAGAAATGAATAGTAGAGTGTCTCTTCAAGCAATTAAGATCCTGACAATTTCTGACAGGCAGTGACTAGCACTTCTGGGAAATCTAATCTACGGTTTCCAATAAATCTTTGCTTAATCTGCATAACTCCTATTATAGTAAGACTTGTATAATTGTATTTATAGATAATTGTTCTGATTATACGCACATGATAAGGTAAAAAGAAAGAAGACATGGAACCACACTCTGGAAGCTTTAGACTTCAGCAGGTTTATAAGGCAATAGCCAAGAAGATAATCCATCCCTATCTCAGAGGGCTGGCAATCCAAGGCCTGGATTTTTCCAGTATCTTCACTATCACAAGGATTATCTGGGTGTTTGCACAGTCAAGCCCCACGTGACCACCTCACTGCAGCTGATTTTGTTTCTGAGGTCTTGCCAAGCAGTTGAGCATTCAGAATCATGACCATAGTCCTTTTTCAGCTCCTACTAACAGAAGCATAAGCAACAAAATGAATGCAACACGACAGTCTACAACTTGGTAGGAAAAAAATGGCTTGAGATTTTGGGGGGAAACAACCAGAAAGCTGTGGAGATGCTGGACAGCATCCCCCCCAAAGTTACTCACAATTAACAAGCCACAAATATGTTATTCCTCCTTCATATAATTGTGCTGACTCTGCAGAGATCTTGTTAAACTAAATCCTTTAACTAATCTGTGCAAACAATATCATTAACTATACAAGGAGCTGAAATTCCAGAAAAAAAAGCAAAATTCCCACAGAAGATGACCTGTTAATTCTGTTTTACAGAAGACCAAAGTGAATACACAGCAGTTTAATCACAGAATCATTTCAGTGCTAAAATTTAATTTTAACTCTGAAGAGGAATGTTAAAGGATTAATGTTACCTTTATCACTTTTCCAAAACACAACCCCATGCATTTGTCCTGAAATCCCAATGTGGGTGACTCGCTGGAGCTGCTGCTGAGGCAGAGCAGCAAGGCACTCATTCAGTGCTCTTATTATTCTCTGGACATTCTGCTCCATTCCCTGCAACCAGAAAGCATCATCCTGAGCATGCACCCATTAGGATTCACCCAGTGTATTTATTAAACAAGGCTGCTCTAGTCAAAAGTGAAGAACAGAACTCATTTAGCTTAATAGCATATATTAGAGTAACATTCACTACTAAACTGTAAAAAGGAAAAACATCCAAAAACCCCCACAAACCCACAGAAACTAAAAACAAATACTAGGAAGTTGAGAAGATGATTTTCATGATGTTGATATTTCACTTCTGAATATTTTATTCCTAAAACTACCCAGCAAACTGATCTGCTCATCAAACTGACCAAACTGTGCCTCAAGAAGCTCTATGGCAGCTTTCACACATTGAAAGATTCAGATTACTTTGTGACAGACCAGTATCAAGATTACAAACAAAACTACTCAAACACTAGTCTACAAATAAATGTGAACTTTGTGCACAGGTACTTTTGGCCGCACGAACATGGCTGTAGGGAGGAGGGCTGGCCTGTTTGGAATCTTTGCTTAGAAATTAGCCCTAGACTCACTACAATATTAGGCCAGAGGAATGTTTATGCGCATTTTTTGATTCTGATTCATCCTTTTTTTAGACTGACCAACACAATGGATGAAAAGATCTTTTACAGGAGTACCTGTTCCTGGTTATTTCCACCGGGAATTTCCAGTTATGATTCCATCTCACAATAAAGTACCTAATACCCTTCCAGTTGGCAAGTGGTTGCTGTTCCCTGACTGGGAGTGTCAAAGACAAGGTGGTGGTTCATGGGAGAACAGTTTCAGATAGTCTTGGGCAACTTTTCAAAACCTGGGTCTTTCTTAAATCAAGCAGCTCTACCTGACTTCCTTGAACAGGGAACAGGGAGTGTTTTAACTCTAGTTTCAAGTATCCATAAACATGCAGCAACCATCTGTCAATCTCGGCATAAAACAAGCCAAGAAAGCCAGTGGAGTCTGCACAGTGTAGCAAAACCCAGGCACGACAAGGCAAGGCTGGTGTCCTGCAATTGCCATCAGTGCTCCCTGCCAGCCCTTACCTGCGGTCCAGCTTCCAGGCTATCGGTGTGTGCCTGCGTCTCCCTGGAGCAGCTCTCTGCCAGCACCAGCCCTCGCTCTGTCCCTGTCACCAGGGCCACCTTCACCGACGTGGTGCCCAGGTCTATGCCCAGCACACAGGTGGGTTCAGGGCTGCCCGCCATGGCCGTGAGGGGACCGCTGTCAGCTTGCCCACCGCATCCAGAGGGACCGACACCCACCATGCCGAGCCCCACACGGTTCCTTGTGCCCCGGAGGGGTTACCAGCCCCCAAGAGCTGAGGGCACACGCGGTGTGGGCTCCCAAGGACGGGGTAGGAGCGCGACCTGGACTTTGCCCTCAGGCTGAGGGTGCCTCCCCCTCAGCGCTCCCCGCCCACTACCCCTTCACCCAGAGAGTGACAAACCGCCCCTTCCCCCAACCCTCTCCGCTGACACGCGCACCCTTAAGCCAGACTTTTTGTCGAAAACCAGACTTGTTGACAAAAATCAAACCAGGACAGCGCCCAGCCCGCCTCGTCCCCTCTAGCAATCCTCCCCCCTCACACACCAGCTCCGCCACACCCAAGATGGCCCCGGGGGCGGCCGCAGCGACGCGGTGGGCGCTGGGCGGGGAGTCCACAGGCGATCGCCTCACGTGAGAGCTGAAAAGGGAAGAGCCGGGACGGCGCCGGGCGCTGAAGGAGGTGGGTGTCCGCCCGCTCCCCGGCACCGCCGCGTGTCCCAAAGCACCGGGTGCCCCGCTCCGCCGGGGCTCCCGAGGGGAGGGCGGCGGGACTACAAGTCCCAGCGTGCCCCGCGGCGCGCTGCCAGCGGCGGGGGGCTGGCGAGGGCGCGGGGGCTGCCGAGATTTGTAGTCTTGCGGGTTGGGGTTGGGGGGGGTCCGTCACGGGACAAGAGCTGAAGTAAAGATGTAAGGATGTCCCCGGGGAGTCCGGGCACACAGAGGGACTGGGAGATCGGTGCTCTCTGAGGGGTGCTGGGGGTCCCTCGGCCAGGCTGGGGGCCGAGGTGCTGGGAGGGGAGCTATTTGCCTCAGCTGCCGCCTGAGGGGATGGGCTGTGCCCCCCTCGAAACGCGTGGGACCTGAGCAAAGCTTCTCCCCGCTTTCTCTACAGCTTTTCCACCATGAGGACGCGGTACCTGCTCCCCGCTCTGCTGAGCCTCTTTCTTGTGCTGCCGGGGCCTGGCGGTGAGTGTTTGGTCATCCCAGTTTGGCCCCATAGGGCTCCAGACCAGCAAGAGGTGGAAGAGGGCAGCTCTCCAGTTATCCCATTACAGCTCTCCAGGGATACCTGTGACACGCTCCCATCAGCTCTTCTCTCACACCTTACCTTGGCTTGGTGTCAGTGCTCTGCCCAGGCATTGTTGTGGGGGAGCCCTCGCCTCACGCTCCAAAATCTGTAGAAGCAGATTAAATACTGCCTGGGATGCAGCCAGTGATAGACTGAGGACCTCCTCTGCACTGAAATAACTTTTTAGAACACTGTGTAATATGTGGCAACAGTAAAAAGAAAGAAAGTGTCCAGGCCAAGCTGTGCAAACTGTTTATCTCTCCATTTCTGGTCTTATTTTTATATGGCTCTTTGTTCTTTCCCCTTGTCTCTCGTGTCTTTTAAACACATAATGAATAAAATAGGCTTGGATTCCACCTGTCAAAATTGATGACATCTGACCAGCTTCAGGTTTTGATAGTGGTTGTACTGGCACTTGGAATCTTGGCCTCTTAAGAGCATGATGTGGTACAACATAGCTGAGGTGTTGTACAATGTACCCCTTAATTCAATATTTCAGAGCACTGTAAGTAAGGTGCTTGAGATTCTTGAAGTGTTAAGATAGTAAATGTACATTCTCTTGGATATCTGGGCACCTGGTTTGAATTTGTGATCCAAGAAGCAATTTTAAACTAAATTTTGGGCATTTATGACTCTTAGATTACTAGGGTCACATCAAGAATCAGTGTGGCAGTATTCTGTGGCCTTCACTTGGCACGACCTTTTGTTGAACTTCACGTATTTAAATTGCTTCCTTCCAAAATGTTCAAGTGACAATTATTTACTTCTCCTTTTAAGTTGTTTAGTCACCTTAACTTCAGTACCTTTAGTTGCTGTACTCCCTTTGCTGTTTTTCACGTGTACTAATGTGATTGATCTGATACTGCAGGTACCAGCTGACAAAATGTCTATGGCACAAAAGAAAATAGGTTGTTCTTCTGAAGAAGCTGTTCATAGTAATTGAGATTTGTGTGGGTGTTTTTTTTTCCCCTCAGATGGAGTCATTGTATTGTCTGTCCCTGAAGTGGTTTCTTTAGAAAGTGGAAGTTCAACAAACGTCACCATCTCTCTGAGGTAAAGTCATGATTGCAGCTTTACTTTCCCTTTGGAACAGGGGCTGTCCTCCATAAATGAATTTACAGTTCCTCCATTTCTAAAAATTGATGCTTAAGAGAAACTTGCATTTCCTAGAAGGATAGCCTCCTGGACAAATGCTCAGTGGAGTTCTCCAGGAAAGATATGCAGGACTGTGTCACTCAGAGAGGGGGGTTTTTTAGGGTTTTTTTGTTTTGTCTTACTGCTGTAATTTCTGTCCTTCATCACCCCAAGTACACGGGCATTGTTTCTGCCCCTCCTTACCAGCAAGGGTTAATGAGCACAAGGATGGGATCCCGGTGGCAATGACTTTGCTCTGGAGAAGAGGGAGCTAAAATGTGGTCACATAATGTCTCGTGCCCTCTCTGGTTCAGATAAAAGAACCAGTACAATGCTCACACACTTGGGTGCTGGTGTTTCTCCGAGTACCAGGCAGGGACTGCTGTGTGTGGGCTGCTCATTGCTGAGAGGATTTAGCAGATACTCCCCCACATCCCTGCAGCCATCTCTGAACTCAGGCACCAGCCTGACCTGTTTTCTTCTGCCTTCACAGGGCTCCATTAAATGAGACACTGGTGATAACTCTTAATATTACACACTCCTCAAAGAACAGCACCATCGTTGAACTGCCTGATGAAGTAAGTGACAGAACAGACTTGTGACCTTAAACAAAAGGCTCCTGCTGGTGTGGTGCAATTCCTTTCTCTTCCCTCTACTTTGCCTTGCAGGTACAGTTCCCCGCAGGTCACATTAAAGCAGACTTCCAAGTGAAAGCAGATGATGTTGGACAAGTAACAGTTTATCTTTATGCCACTAATTCCAACTTAACTGGGTGAGAAGCTGTTTTTTAGTTCCACTTTCCTATAGCTTTCTAAACTTTGGGGTAACTATTCCCTCCTTGTAGTAAAATGGGATGTAGTTGAGAAGATGTGATAACCTCCAGCAAACCCCAGGGTGTTCAGATAAATAGAGGGCATGGAAGCAGAGTGATAATCTTGGTATTTTAGATTTAATTACTAGATAGCTGAGTTATCACAGCTCCTTAGTCTGGTTTTAATAATCCTTCCCAAAAGCATGGAAACTACATGCCAGATTTTCCAGTCTGGGAAGCATTTGGTTGTCAGTGTCCAGGGGGATACTGATCTTTCTGTGCAGGCTTTGTTCTGGATTTCTAATAGCCTGGTGCAGCTGTGCACCCACATCACTACCTTGACATACAGGTGCTTTGCTTTCTAGTTAGGGCAGCCCTCTTCTCACAGGTGCCAGTTCTCCCTCACAGGAAAAGTCTAGCAAGATGGAGAAAGCTGGACAGTATTCACTTGTTGCCCAGATGTCACTGAGCAACAAGATGCTCCTGTTTTACTTCCTGGTTTTGCTTCTGCTTTTAAGACTCGAAGCAAATGCAGAGGTGAGCACGTGGAACGCTCACAGGACAGGCACAATCATGAGGCTTTGCTGACAGAGCGTGGAAAGTGCAACTCTCTCTTGCCTAACAGAACCTTGTGCTAAGAGAGTGGAAGCCATAGGCACGAGATGACCTTTTTGAACATTCCTGTGGTAAAAGAATGGAAAGGAAAAGAGTCAGGCAAGAAGGAAAGGGGGGTAGGAGTGAGAGATGTCCCGAACATAACAAGGACATTAAGGAAAAGGGGAGCAACTCAACTGCAACTAACTGAATCTTTGTTGTCTTGTCTCAACACCTGAACTCTATTTCCTCTCTCAAAGCAGAGCAAGACAAAATCTCCTGAAAAAAGTGTGAACAGATGAATTAACTAATTCTTTTTGCATTAACCATCAGACCTAGGATTCGATTCCAAGTGATCCATAGCATCATAGTGAGATATGCTGATGAGGTGATTGGCTGGATCTATTTTGTTGCCTGGTCCATCTCCTTTTACCCTCAACTCTTTGAGAACTGGCGACGAAAAAGGTAAAGAGGCTTAAGATGTGTTTGCAAGTCACTTAAGCACTCCTGCAAATCTTGTTCATAGCTTCAGTTACATCCATCTTTGTTATTGTGAATTATCCATGGAAAGATGGGGAAAAAAAACAAGGCAAACTGCAGCCCCACTGAGCTTTTATACATGCAGGTTAGGGGAAACTAAGTGCATCCTATGAACACCTGATCCTAAGGTTTGGCATCCAGTACTAATTTGTGATAGAGGAGACTTCCCCATTGCCTTTGGTGTGATGTTGCAAATCATCTGCCTGAGCCAGTTGTGATGATCACTTTTAAAGGTTGCAGCCTCGAGAGCTGTTTCTCAGACCCTTCCTTGTAGTGTCATCATTAGGCCAGCTCCCCTTAAATTAAGTGACTCCAAGTAGAAACATTATTATATATAAGAACTAAAGCATTTATTCTGGCAGAAATGCACTAGTGCCTCAGGCTGGAATGGCTTTATCAGAGAAGCTGAACTTATGGAGGAGTCAAGTTAAACACCAGGGACACAACCTGGTCAGTGAGAGCTGTGTTATTGCACCTTGCTTCCTCATGAACTCACAGCCTTGTGTTGTCACAATACCTGAGGCTTTTGCTTAATCAGAAATTGCCTGTAAATCAGTACATTTTAGGGTCAGGCTGTCCCTGGAACTGCCTGTAATGTTCTGATGCATGTTTCTCTTTTTTTTTTCCCCCTACTCTAGTGTTGTTGGACTAAGCTTTGACTTTATAGCATTAAACCTCACTGGCTTTATAGCATACAGTGTATTTAACATTGGCCTCTTCTGGATTCCCTTGATTAAGGTGAGCATGATTCTCTGTAAATACTTGCCAGGGGTTGGGTATCTACAGAAGGGAATTAAAACATGTGGCTGGTTTTGGCTTCTCTTACCTTTAGGAGGAATTCTTGGTCAGTTATCCCAGCGGGGTGAACCCCGTGGCCATCAATGATGTTTTCTTCAGTCTCCACGCAGTAACTCTGACTCTCCTCACCATCATTCAGTGCTGCATCTACGAGGTGGGTCTGGGTGCTGGGCTCATCTGTCGGCTCTGGCAGAGCTCCCTCTGCCGGGCACCTCGCTGCTCCTTTGGGGCTCCAAAATCCTCTTCACTGCACTTTCACTGCCTTCCCAAAAGCCAGGCTTCACAATCCAGCTGCCCTCATCTTTTCTAAGTTAGCAACAACTCCACTGATCGTATCTGCTTCAGCCTGATGGATGTTCTGAGCTTATAAGT